AATATATATATATATTATTTGTGTACTTATTTTGTTGTTCTTAGGAGCATACTCTATTGGTGACGGAAGAAGGAGCAGTTCCTCTTACTGTAGTAGACGATTGAGGTGTACGTACACCTTAATACACAAAAATAATTTATTTTATTTATTTATGCAGCTTCCTCCATTAACAAGTTGTACGTGCAGCCTCCTCTATTGTACCGGGGGTAGGATTGGATTTCTTCTTTTTTTTTTTTATTTCTTCTTTTGCCTAATAACTCTTTTTCCCTCTTAATATATTTTATTTTATATTTTATTTGTTTTTATCTTTTATTTTATTTTATTACCAATTATCCTTTCCCCCCTAGTACCTATATTATCCTTAGTATACATACAACAGCTGCATGTAGCTACTGCATGCAGCTGGTGCATGCAGCAGCAACAGCTGGTTGTCTTTTTATCCTTTTCTCTCTATTAGAGGAGGTTCTTTTTCTTTTTGTTTGCTACTCTCCCCTTAAGAAGTGTCTATGACGCTATCTACCTATATCTATTTATATATATTATATAATCTACCTATATCTCTGTCTATATATATTATATATAATGTGTATTATATATATTGTGTATTTCCCCTAGTTACCCATAGGCTATTTGCGTAAACGTTTGCTGCCTCCTCTTTTCTTTCTTATCTATATCTGTGTCTGCTTATCTGCTGCTACGCATCTTTTATTTATTTATTTTTCCTTACTAAATAATTATTTAATAAATAATAAATAATTTTCCCCCTCCATTTGCATTAATTTAGACAACAAAATAGTTTTATGTGTACATACACCGCGGCCACAAGAGACAAATTAAAAGAAAAAGAAATTGCCTCTTAGTCCGCAGGCCATGTACTCTCTTCCTTCATTAAATTGACTCCTGTTGCTGCTTATGCTGCAGCAGCTGCTTCTCCTACTGCTTATACAGCAAACTGCCCCTTTTCCCTGCTGCTGTGATGTAATATAACAACTCCCTTGCAACCTATGCATGCATGCATACATGCATGCATGCATGGTGTACATACTGTGCATGCATGCATGGTGTACAGACAATACAACCGAAAAGCAGTGCAAGCAAAGAAACATATAGTATATACACTGTACAAAGAGGGCTTCTGCCCGCATGCATGCATGAAAATGCATGCATGCATGCAAGTTGCAAATACACCCGAAACGCAGCATAGGCCCATGAGCAGCATACATGAATATAAACAGCAAAAAAGGAAATATTGCTGCCCTTTCCTTAATAATAAACAATGCGGCAGCTTGCTGCTGCTGTTAATGAATCCTCCTCCTCTTCTATCCATTTCTCCTTGCCAAGTGACAATAATAATAATAATAATAATATTAAGGTCTTCTTTTTATAAGACGCTAGATCTATATTATCTTCTTCTTCCTCCCTGTTGGCTATACTTATGCTTCTCTCTCTCCCCTCCATAATACTATTGCATCCCTCTTGTCCTCCCTACCCCTTTCCCTCAAGAAAACAACAGTCAAGATGCAACAGCAACAGGAAGAATATACAATAACAGCAGCAAAAGAGGCAACAATAGCTGCATCATAATGAGTCATAATAATAATACGACAAGTACACACATATATATGTATAATATATATATTATATATTATATATTATATATATACATATATTATAAAAAATATCTATATTTTACTTGTCGCTTTCTGTGTCTGAGCCCGCTGCGGTTGATCGATCATCTTCGCTGTCTGCTGCTGCTTCTCCTTTAATTGGTGCTTTTATAGGAGGAGAAGGAGGTGTATTATCTTCATAGTCTATTTCTTCTACGGTAACGGTAACTTGACGCTCTATACCCTCCTCTCCTGTATTAGGAGAAGTACGAGCAACAGGAGGAACAGTTGTTGTTGCTGTTCCTGCTGCTGCTGCTGCTATTTTCTGTATAGCGTCAATAGGTGGGAAATCTTCTGCTTCTCTTGGTAGACGGAAAGCGTCTTCATCAGCAGCATCATCAGCAGCAGCAGCACTAAAGGCATGCAGTGCGCTATCTGCTGGTCCTGACCCCAGCGGGAGTCGGGATCGTCCGCCGAATCCTTCCCATAGGCATTCTTCACCAACAATATATTTTAAATGTCTTCTTGTTTCTTCATCATTAACTATAATAACTCCCCTATTGCGGAAGGTAACAAGAGAGGTTACAGCTTTCCATATAGAATCGAAGCATGCAGGGGGATTTAATATGAATGCTTTTGACCAACCCTTACCAGTAATGCTATTAAATGCAGCATTAACTTGTCTTATTAAACTATTTATCTTAAACATGTTACTGATAGCCTTTCTCCATCCTAAGCCTTCAAAATCAACTACAAAAACTGGAGGAGGCTCAAGACGGTACTCAGGCACAATACGACGCCAGTAGGCCTCCACTTGCCACCGTAAATACATCAGAAAGGAAAGTTGAGACTTTTCGTCTGCTAGAAGTGTGTCAATATCAAAATGTCCAATTCGCATGATTATTTGACGCCGTCGCGGTTGATTCGGTCCGCATGTACGGCCATAGAAGTATACTGGAGCTATACGCCACCAACGGCTACGCAAACGACGCATGCTCTCAAGATATTGAGGTTTCCAATAGGAATGCCCTGGCTGATAACGCCCGCGAAATCGCGCGTCAGCATCGGGATCCGTGCCGGGTAGCTCCGCCACGGCGGTGCTACCTAGAGAGCCAGCATGGGCAAGCTGAACAAATGCGCAAAGAAAAGAAATGCAAATGGCAAACAAGAAGCCAAACGCAATACCTCGCGTCATCTTCCTCACGAGAAGCAGAAAGCTGAACCACGAAGAAGAGAATTCAAAAAACTCCCATATGATGGGAAGCCGCTCGGATCACCCGAGGCTATGCGTCTGGAAAATGCCAGTATGAAGTGCCAGCCAATCTTATCATCAACTGGACATTCAAGATCGATCTCCTGCTGTCGATACACCCGGAATTATTGAAACCCGCCTCACGATCGCGGGCACAGCCCCCATCCACCGGGGGAAGCCCGGCTGTATCTAAGGAGAAAAACAAGAACTGCGTTTAAATCAAACTGTTCAGACAAAAGAAAACGCATCCATTTTAAAAGATGCAAATCAACAAATAAATGTGACGAAACCAACATACTACCAGCGCTGCCTCCCTCTTTAACAACACCGCTTCCGAAGGAGCTGCGGCCCCACGTCTCACTTGTTGCTGTGTGACAGATGTGCGCCAATCGTAGACTACTATTTTCTAGTCAATAAACCTCCCAAAACATCTTCGTTTACAACCTTTTTCTGTACCCTTTTAAGGAAACTTATTCATTTAGAGAAAGGTAGTAAAAAACACACGAACTGCAACGCGCGAGGCCCGATGTGCTAACTACTCTGTCGCTGCCTCACGTTGCCGCTGCTAGTGCCTGCATAAGGCGTATCTTAGGCTTTTGTTCAATTTTCATCATCCTATCAATATTTTACTTAAATGTTTGGGCTCCTTCTTAATTAATTCGTCATATGAACCCCGCCAATGTGCCCTGTTCAACTTCTTTGTAGGGAAAGTCGTTTCTGTACGTGCGTGTACATACATCTAAGGCAGTTTCTTGGACGCTGAGTCTTGTTACCGACAGCGTGCTACAGTACGCAAGCCATAGAGGCCTCCTTAGACTATATTTCTTCTTAATATTCTTCATTATGTAGTCTGTTTTCTGTCCCGTTAAAGGGATTGCAGTGTCTACGGTAAACCCTATCCTTGTGAGAGGCGTAGTAGATACACACGGCTAATAGCTGAACAACTGACGTACAAAGACATGTTGTACTGTCATTAAGACACATCCTGGCCATATTGGACATCATAAAACCCCAAAATACACAGAAGCAAATGAAAATATCCTGTTTAACCTTACGATTTGGTTTCAGGGTTCAAAGTTTAAGGCTATTGCTGTGCATGAGTCATCATATTGAAAATGTCCAGTGGGGCATCCTTCCGCTGGGCATCCACAGGAATATGATGAAATAATTATATAGGAGTAGGTATAGTTAAGCATGAGCATAGAATCTGTTGTAGATGAGACGGCGGGCAGTTCCTCTCTAGCAGATCTTCCGACCACAACTGAGGTACGAGCGCTGAATCTAGAGCAATCCCCGTCGATCCTCATCATTATTATCAATAAAGTAAAGGTGTTTCTGACGAGGAACTATCTGGAAGGCAGCATTGATGAGTAAATGGCTAAGAGGCATCCGTAGCGAGGAAATAGCCGAGAAGCAATAGTTTACAAGGGGCCGCATAGTTTCACGGGTTCCTTGGCACAGCGACGCCGAGGCGTGGAGATGCTATTATAGATATACACATGGTATTTATTTATTCGTTTATTTACGTTGTAACTGTGCACTCAAGAGAGGTGAGGGAATGTCGTGAGTTGCATTGCAGCTTGTTAAGCTGCTGCTATCTGCAGTGTCACTACATGGGAAACATCTGCATGTTTCCCATATAGTGACACTTCAGATGACTGTTATGCAGCACTAGCAGCCTGCATGCATGCAAGTTGAAATATATCCGATGCCAACGGGGCAAGGCTGTCTCCCTGCGGCCTCTCACCTACGCACCCGCTCCGCATGTGCAAAATAATCCTGTGGCCAGCAGTGTCAGATATGATAAGAGAGTCGTTTACTTGTTAGCAGTTGTACATGCATCCCTGGCATCCCGTGCTCCTGTGGGAAGTATGCATTAGGTCAAGGCAAGTACTTGATGATTGGTTTCCAGCAAAACAGACAAATGCCTTTTCAGTGCAACTGCGAGGGGCAAATGCACTAAACACTTCTGTAAGGATATAATCGTCCATGCGGAAACAAAAAGTTAGTTGATTTGCAAGCGGCACTCGGATATCCAATGTGCAGAGCAACACCGATGCCAACGTAACGGCGAGAGAGCAGCAGCAGCCAGCTGCGGCAGTCGTATTTCCTTACATCTTGAGAAAATGGGGAGATTTCCCGCTATGCATGTTCGGACAACTACAGGATTTGTGAGATTTTTGTATCTTCTGGCGGCTTAACGGGCGTGTCTCACAAATACATGTGAAAGTGGATATCCCATATTAGCTCGAATGCTCTAAACTTATACTTCCATATAGTTTAAAGGCATATCAGCATTTCAGCAACTTTGTCACACAGCAAGGAAACGCAAAGTGGCATCTGGTGCTGTTGCTGTTGCTGCTGCACGAATGGTAGCCACTAAGGTAAGCTCCAATTAGGAGGTAGTCCTGCAGATGCCCAATGCCTAAACTGGCGCTTAAACTTCATACCTTCTGCACTACAACTGAGAGGTGAATAAAGGGCCCTTCACCCTTTCAGAGTACATGAAAGGAAGGGCTCACGTTCCATCGCAGACACAAAAGTATTTCTCTTCCGTGCAGGTAGCTGAGTTTCGGGTTGAATTATATGAAGATTGCAAGTTGCAGGATGCAAGTCATTACGGGAAAACAAACATAGCCCAGAGGGAAACCCTCGCATTTCTTGTGGGGCATTTGTATAACCCGTATGACTCTCTATCTATTTGTATATTGTATATATAAACGCACACATCTGTGTGTATATTCATAGTGGATATGTATTGCGGTATTGATTCTTTTGCACACACTTGCAGGCGTGTGTGAAATTCATAGATGCTCACACGGCTTCCTCTTTATCACTTTCTGGGGGTTCAAATGAGTGAAAATTTTTAAATCATTTAAAGCCGTTTAGCGGCGATACCTGCACTGATTCTCCTTCTTGCGGCGTCACCTTAGAGATGCCTAGTACAACGGTACAAAGCAGCCACAGTATTTCGGATTGTCGCTATCAGCCACGGCAAATGAATAGGAAACGGCACTTTAGAGTAATCATATGTGAGGGAGAGAGACAGAGTTAGATATGAGCGCATATCTGCAGCTGGTATTGCTTATGATGCCACTCATTTGTACTGCCTATTGTACCACTCAGGGAATTTATTCCGCCTCAGTAAAATTAAACAATGAGAAACTGGCTTTACTTTCAGGGGAGGCAATGACGATGAAGTGTCGTTTACTGCCCTGGTTGTAAAAAGTTCGATGCTTGCCCACAATCGGCCTGCGCTGCTGCTGCCTGCGCCGATATACGATGTGTACGTTGATTGACAAGGAAGTTGGGCCTGTTTAATAACTGAAAATAGTAATAACTTTTATAGGTCGTTGATTCGAATTATGAGAAATGCGGGCGTTCTTACCTTAAAGGGGAAAAATTGTGTTAGCTTGATCCCGACTCGCCTCGTCCGCATTCTCAGGCACGAGACAGCCGGCATCTGCTAGGCGAACCGAACACTGCTCTAGGGGGGACTGGCCTATGAGAACAACTCCTTAATCGACAAAAATTAAATTATTTATTTTGTTGCTAAACTCCTTCAAGCACACAGCTCACGGTGCTCCCCAACTACCTCCTTCGTAGATTGGGAACTGCACGCGGCTCCGCAGGCTCAGCTGCGCTGCAAAGTTACAGAATTTTGCGGTCGTGTTTCCTTGGTAAGGCTCTTACTAGATTTCGAAGACAAGGGGAATCTGCAAGGAATGTTGGAATACGATTTCCAGGGCGGTGTTAGCGCTAGACAAGCACAGGTGTTCTGCTCAGCGTGACCGCCGATTCAATGCCTGTAGGCTTGATGCTGGGTCCCTTATAGAAGAGCTCGAAAGGTTTCTACCTGTTTTGAGTGTAATTATTATTTGATCTCAATTTCATGTGACAACCCCGCAACTATGGCCAGATCAGCAAGCGGGGCAGCATGGCTGGCCCCTTGTCGGCAGTTCTTCTCAAACAACCCGAAGAAGTTGGCCTTGCGCGTTCGCCTATTGCTTTTTCTGGACTGTGTGATCTTGGGATTGATAATTGCTGCTCTCACGGGTCCCTGGTACAAGCAAGAATGGAGAGTTGCCAATGGGGAAATCCTGTCGTGGACTGTATACCTCACCAGAGCAAAGTTTGCTGTCGACTGTTCATCAGACTCCCCTGAATTTCTAGACCTTTGTCAAACTCTTTACGGCCGCATGGCTGGAGATCTGCGAGCAGTATCTCGTTCGATTTGCACAGCGGGGAAGAAAGTGCAGGACACAGACCTTCAAGCCCTGCTGGAGGAGACGTGTTCAGATATGCAGCTCATAGAGAAGCTCTCTGTTTCCACGGGTGCCCTGGCGGGAATGTCGGCATTCTTTATGTCTTTTGGCTTGGTGGCGTTTTTACTGCATGCAGGTGGCGGTTTTCGAAACCGCCGAGCGTGGAGAGTAAGTTTCGCATGCCATACACTTGCGTGGGCGACTTTAACTGCATCATGTATTGTATACAGCCTAGCAATAATGAATATTGAAGACTTATTTCACTTTCAGCCTCCGCTGAATGTGGCATTTGACCCTGCACAAGCTGAGCCCTTCGCTCACGAGTTGCTATACGGGTTCATAATTGCCATTGCTGCTTCGGCGTTGACCTTTTTCTACCTTCCCTTTTGGTGGAAGGCGGCTCCTTTCGATCCAGACCCGTATTTTTTAGAACCGGCAGACTTGCGTCAAGGATTTGTGTAATTTAACATCCTTGACTTCGTCCAGCCTTCGTCACACACAATTTTCTTGCAATAGGTTACAACTGCGCAAAACACACTAGAATCCAATGTCCACTGCTGGCAATCAGGAAACAGTGAAACTAAGCGTTTCTGACACTCAAGAAATGTTGCTGTTGTGGCTATTTGCATTCATCCCCTGGGGAAACGGAAATTAGTAAATATACCTTAGCCAAATCAGTGAAAAGCGTTTACTAATTCAACAAGTATGAACATATGTCACGAAGAATACTTTGTCGACTGGCAGCCCTCAAAAGCCACTTCACAGGAACATACCACAACTTACTACCGTTAGAAGCTGGAATCAACGGAAAGCTCTGAGCTGGGGAGAACGTATTCCCTCTCCTGCATTGGATTCAAAGGTCTGCTCTTAACTTAGTATCGTGAAGAGTGGCAGTAGCAAAGTGGTGGAGAGGAACTCAAACTAGTCAAAGCCAGTAAGCAGCACTTCATGTAGCAACATTTTCTGCTTCAAATGCTGCAAGGAAGGCAATCATTTATTCAAATACATCCAAACCACTTCCGACGTACTTGTTACACCTCTGTCAAGTGTAAAACCGTGTTTTGTTTTCAGGTGCATGCAGAAGTTGATGCAGCTCAAATGTCTGACAGTTCCTAGTACTTTCAGATGCTGCGTAACAACAAAACCCCTGTGATTGGCCTCCAGGGAGGTTTATGACTCTGACATGTTCTCAAAATAAAGCAAGAAGTAGTTGGCCTGTACTTTTGCAACGATGGCAATTCATTCACATTATGGCCTTTGAAATCGCAAGCTAGAGCCCCAAGCATTTCTTGGCCATGACTATTTCGTCAATACCTAATGCAGATTTCCTGTATGCTTTAGATGCACTTCGATGGAGAAGGTAGACAAGAAATATGGGTCAGGCACAAGCAATAAACGACCACGATGTTCGCACCGAAAGCCTAAAAAGAGTTCACTGCCTGACATATTCTGAGATATTCAAGGTTCTCCAATAGAAGATGGCTGTAGGCCAATTGTACTAGCAAAGTGTTTCGAATAATTCTGTGCACTGCCCACTGGTCATGCAGCCGGTTCGTAGTTTTCGTCAATTGGGGGTTGGGAAAGCAGAGGGAAACCCTCAGAAAAGGCCTATCCAGAGTTGCGTTTGTCAAATATTCTATTGGATATTGCAGCTAAACCCTGCCATCATCTACGGGACTGGTTGCGTCGGAGCTCAGCGGTCCATTCTGTGTACCAAGACAAGCAGGCAAGTGAATGCCGGAGGCTGTAGACCAACTTTGTTGTTTTATAAGCCTTGTGAGCCCTGCAAAATCAAGAACAATTCGATTGCACCACAAAGTTAGCTGTGTTCTCAGTTGCGATCCCCGAATAAATTGTGCATGCTACATTCGTTATTGGCACCGCATCGCGGCGCGTCACTAGCCACTTGTCTGCAAGAGAACCCTGCCGATCCTCGAAACCAATATACTTTCAGCCGTTCCGTCGCATATTATTTTGCCTTTTACATTTTGTTTTCTTCCCAAATTTGTCAACTGGCCCTGTGACTTATTTGTACAGGCAGCTGGCTGCTCGAGCCCAGTGACGCTGTGGGTTCCTGTGCCTGGGGCACCGTCTTCCGCACCTTGTTGGCACTTCCCACCTAGTTTTTATTGTTTGCATAATACATTTTGCCACTTTGTTTTAGTTTCGCTGCTCTCTCTGTGGTGGAGTTCATGGTTTCAGCTCGGTTATCGGCTGCACTCGGCTTCCGGGGGATCGATGGGAATTGAATGTCCAATCACCCGGTAGGTGTAATCAGTAAAGGCGAGGAATAGTGCTCAAGGCAGGTTGTGGTACACAACTTTCAGGTACAGCAATAATGTTGCTGGTGCTGCTGGCATGGCTTGGGTCCGCACTCTCACGATCGTCGCTGACTACGGTGTGCAGCGCAACTCCTAATCCCCCTCCACCTGGCTTGGTACGCCATCACCGAGCACATGAAAATGTCTTCAAAGATGCCTCCATACCCGTACAGCTCGCCATAGCGCCTGTACGAGTACATCTTGAGACACGAGCAGCGGCCTGGCAGCATGACCATCTTCACCCGCAGTTCCTGTCGCCCAAAGACCAACAAGTCGCCCACATATCTGCTGTTGATACAGCAACACATTCGCGGGGGAAAGGACAGCAAAAGGGTGTTTTAGCATCTCAGAGTCAACACGCTGATGATGCGCCTGTTGCTTCTGGGACCCATCTTCCTCACGATGCTTTGAATGCAAGCGCCAGCAAACAACGCCAGTTCAGCCCCTTTTCCTTTCTGCAAGAGACTCCCTTGCCGAATACCGTTATTGTAATAGTCGTGGGAACTGCTATTCTCCTGTTCCTCATCGTTGCCGCGATTGTCAGCCACTATGTCCTCTCCATGCGTTCCCAAGCTCGGAGATATGGATATCCAATACAGGAGGCGTATCGTAGTCCGTCATCTTCATTGCAGACAGAATTGAAAAGAAGAGCAAAACCTATTTTTGCGTTTCTGCCATCTTACTAGCCCAGCTGTGGTTGACCGCCATCTTTAGGTGTACTCGTTCATCACCTCGTTTCTTGTCCCGTAACCTTTTTACTATATCTATCTGCCACCCTGTGTACACGTATGTACCGATATACATTTGTCATATGGAACTCCAAGAGTGCCTAAACACGCATGTAGTATGTAACTGTAATGCCATGCATTCGTGCTTGCGCGTTTACAACTATGAATTATACGACACACATGGAACTACATATACTGCAGTTGCAATTGCATGAATACATCTCCGAGTGCGTAAAACTGCTGCGTTATGCAGGCCCTCCGGCAGATACGCGCGAACCCGAAGTCCCAGCGTTTAACCAGGATGTGTTCTCTGCTGCTGGTGTTGCAAGTCGGCAGTTTTCTACTCTAAATTCCTTCAACTCGCTGTACAACCTGCCCCCCGGGTGAGAGTGTAAACGGCAAATACAAGCGGGATCACCCTTGCGTGCAACAACTAATCCAATGCACGCAGCCCACGTTGTGTATGTATACCGTATAGTATCTATATGCACGAGAAAAAATATCCTCGAATATCGGATATTTCTTTGCCTAGAGGGCGTAGGGTGACGCCATAATGAAATTGGAATACAGCCCAAACTTAGTGTATTATATTAGACGTCATGGCAGCAACAGCTACATTACTTCTGTCTGTCGAATGCGCAGATTTAATGAGCGTAAGACTCCAAGGGAGATCGAATACGAAAGGCGCGTAATGCACACCCGCCTGGCGCCCCATTCCGATTCGCCTCAAAGAGCACACTCCAGACACCTCGAATCCCCAGCTACACCCCGCGAAGGGAGACATAACCAAAACAGCTGAGCACCAGTGGCTGGGCGCCGTCCATGCGCTGCAGTCTAAACCGGCGGACTACGACTGCATCGCAGTGAAGCTTTAGACTTTCTCGCTGTGCACCCACTACTAAGCCCTAAAGACTAAGCTACACACCAGCAGGCTGGCACCGAGGGTGCACCTAAGATGCCGTGCAAAGAATTAGTAAATGAGAGTTTGGGTGACACGGTGCAGCCAACAAAGTTGGGCCCCTCGAAATTGCTGACTGACGGTCGGTTGAAGCGCAAGTAAACTGCTGCGACAACGTCCGAGTCCGCCAACTTCTTGTGAGCCAACTGGCTCGTGCAACTGGGAAATGAACTGCGAGACAGGGGAAGGAACATCCCCTGGCTCTATTTACGTGGTTTATGTCCATCCGCCTTGCCGTCACTCATTACCTCGACCTTTGTCTCATTTTTCTTCTCTTGCGCTGTAGTCTCCTCGTGCGCTTCTTCTTCCACTGCGCAGACACCCCAAGCGGCACACAATCACAGCTCACTGTTACGCACACACACACTCCAACGCTTCATTCTGATTAGGCGTCACTTGTAAATCAGTAATCACTGCCACACATTCCGTCTAGAACAGCAACCACGTCCACTCAACAAGTGTTGTGTCGTATGTGAACACGAGCCAATGCACCACTGAGGCATCAGACATCTAAGGAGGTCGCCAGGCGTTGCTCCAGGCGCTTGGAGCATCGCGTACGCAACACACTGCGAATGTGAAACGGCTTTCCTATTTTGTCATCAAAGCCCACTATTTTACATGATCAAATATAGAAACGAAAGAGCTCAATACGAAAATACAGTGGATCAAGCGGCATTCAGACATCTAAGGATGTCGCCAGGCGTTGCCCCAGGCGCTTGAGGCATCGCGTACGCAACACACTGCGAATGTGAAACGGCTTTCCTTGTTTGTCATCAACGTGCCTTGCCGTTGCGGACCCAAATGTACACAAGCACTACATACGAAGGACACAACAACGACGGAATGCATCAGACATCTAAGGATGTCGCCAGGCGTTGCCCCAGGCGCTTGAGGCATCGCGTACGCAACACACTGCGAATGTGAAACGGCTTTCCCTTTTTGTCATCATCGTATTTCACCGGTGCGAGGTCGGCACTACACAAAAAGAATATCAAAAGAAACAAAACAGGGAAAGAACCAAAAAGAGACAACAGCGGGGGAAGAGAAGAATTCAGACATCTAAGGAGGTCGCCAGGCGTTGCCCCAGGCGCTTGAGGCATCGCGTACGCAACACACTGCGAATGTGAAACGGCTTTCCTGTGGTGTCATCACCAAGCCTCCTCCCCAATAGACAGCAGGAACAGTTGAAACAGTCACTCAATTCAAACGCAAGGAAACTCCCAGCAAGGGTGGCGGAAGCACAAGGCAGAGAAAACTCGAAAAGGGAAAAACGGACAAAAGGAACCCCATAAAGGCCCTCGAGTGCATTTGGACTATCGGATGAAACTACGCATAGACGCCGCGAACGCAAGGAATGAACTCGGTTGGAATTCCGCGTCCCGGACCGCCGACAGCCGAAAACGACAATCAACAACATATAGAAACTACAGACAGTCTTTACAATCGCAAATACGCAGACCAAACCCAAAAAGTAGGGTAGTAAACAAGAGCAATTTTGAAGAGATACTCCATGGCAGAACACAGGAAGTTCTTCTGCGGGTTCGCTGAACGCACCTTCCACCTCATCTTCGCCCTCGACTTCTTATATCTGCTGGCACCGTGCGCCATTTTCGGGAAATGAGTAAAAAAGACTTTGGAGATAGATATCCCGTCCTTCAAAGCACCGATGCCAGAACCCCACGGAGCCCCGCAGCTGCACAGCTGTGAGGGGGGGAAGCTCTGCAGCGGCCGCTGCAGCCGCTACCCCCCACATAAGCATGCAAATTCATGTGAAAGATAATATCCACTTCGCGAGCTGTCTGTCAATCTAGAAAGGGGAGTTATAAAGTCTTTACCTACTGTCTAAATTAATTTTATGAATTGAATTACTTTTTTGGCCACAAACAATCACATCCTTGCTAATCTATTGTGCCGTCGCGCGCTCCACGTGCCCTCTTTCGTGACGTGAAGCATTGGATTTGGCCCCATAGTTTAGGAGCACAACCCAACTGAATCATTATGAATCTATACCGAACTTGTGCATTTGTTTGTCGTACTCGACCCGTCAACACTTTAGGGCACAGGCACTACGATTAGCACTCTAAGCCTCAGGCGACTGAATTCCTCATAAGTCATAGTATAAAGAATATTTGGCATTTAATAGGGAGTTTGTAGACCACAGTTGTGGTCGAAAGGGCAACTCCTGCCTACAGCCCATAGGACATAGGACTGGCTAAGCCTCGACACTGGCCGCTTTGAGGATGAGGCAGGCGGCACTTCCCCTCATTGAGGGAGGGCGACTCTAAAGAAGCCAGCTTTTTAAAACCTTAATAATAGGAGAATGGTATTTTACGATTTCTACATTAGTATTCATTGCGTTCGGTATCATTTTAGCGGTGTGGGCCTAAGTTGCTCAGGCTAGAGATTTTTTGCCCAGTGTCAGCTGGGTGGCTGGGGTGTTCAATAAAAGCACTGCCCTGTGTACTTTGAGGAGTGCGCTGCACAGCAGAGAGGAAGGGGTACAGGCTGTCCACAGTTAATGATGGACATGTACTCTGCCTTAGTAGGCAACATACACTCAATCAGGAAGCCATCGAGCAAGCATCCCATACAATCCTACAGACTGCAGCGAGGAACGCTACGCTGTTGCACATCTGTTCCTGGGTCCCAGCAAAGGGCCACTTTGAGCCATATTGGGGTCATACTGCTGAAGGCGACAGTTCACCAAACGCACCAAACCCTAGTTCCAGGCGTCTTCGGCGCAGTGGCCCTGGACCTTCCGTTGCACAGGAGCTGTGTTGTAACTCGTAGTCTACCAGGGTGTGGTTTATATCCGAACATCGCACAGACTTCCCAACATCGGGCAGACTACACTACAGTTCTGCATGAATCTGGAGCGTTCCCACTGCATGTGCTCTAGCAAGGCGCGTCGCAACAGTTGAAAGCCCACTAGCTCTCTCGCAGCTCTAGACAGATGAGCCGCTATTCACTTTACTGACCTAAAGCCGCTAGAGGTCACACCTGAGACACATTGTAGTGCCTCGTGTGGAGAAGGTAACGGAGGGGAATTTGTTAGTAGAGAGTATGACAGTTGAGAGACCCGACGTACGTTAGCATTATGAGCGTACAGGGATCCTAAGCGAGGTAGAAACAAGACCTCATGCCATTCCAGCCCCCCTGGGAAGGGGAACGAGACACAGCAAGTATAGAAGATGATACGTTAGAGCAGATCCGTACTGGAAGAGGCTTCAGACGCGGAGAAGGCCCCACAGAAGACAGGGGTGAAGCCTGATGTAGAGTCCACTAGAGATGAAGTCGAAAAGACTCAGCAAGAAGAGCACGAGCTCTGCGAGCGGGATACTGAAGGGGCGGGAAGGTCCGCTAACCCGATTGACGTGGGTGTAAAGACGCCATGGTGGCGAGAGGCTGGTGGGACCGCAGAGTTTGATAGGTGCAGAGCATGGTGCTGTGTGGGCACACACGAGCTGTGCGAGCGGGACACTGAAGGGGCGGGAAGGCCCGCTAACCCGATTGACGTGGGTGTAAAGACGCCATGGTGGCGAGAGGCTGGTGGGACCGCAAAGTTTGATAGGTGCAGAGCATGGTGCTGTGTGGGCACTACCTCATTTCTGAGGGTAGATATGACTGGGAGCCAGTGTGAGGCTTTCTTGGAGAAGGAGGTCTCTAAGAGTTTCATTAATCAGGAGAAAGTTGATCGTTTACAACTAAAGGCCCTCCGACCTTCAGAGGCGTGTATGTTTATGGAGGCCACTGCCGAGCAGATGCGCAATGATCGGGTGGTCATGAGATCGACGACGTGGGGTGAACGATACCGTTTAACGGGATAGTTCTTGAATGGGTTTGCACCGTGTGAAGTTGTGTTAAGCTTTGTTTCTTCGACCGCTCAAGGATTTGAGTGGTATATTCTGTAAGGTCAGTTGCGGACCCATGTGAATTAGGCTTGGGGTAAGGTAACGGTAGCTCTCTCATGTGCAAAACGGAAAAGGGGGGACCACACTAGGGGACTGCGCCAGAAGACCCCAGCAGGGCCGCCGTCTACGTGCCCTAACGAGTACCACACAGTCCTTGTGCCCGTTTCGATTCGTGCCAACGCACTGTCTGGTGCGTTATTAGTATTTCGTGTTGTGAATGGGGTGAGGGTTGCTACAGCACCAGTTCTGCACTAGGATGTCATCCACATAGATAGTAGTTTAGGTTAGGATCACACAGACACTCGCGTATTTGTATGGTCCCACAATATAGGCATGCGTATTAAGTAGTTGCGCACAAAAAAAAGCAGGCACATGGGTTAGGAAAACTAGTCATTAGGTCTACTAATAAAAGCTACTAGAAGGGAGACACTTATACTGAGAGGCGCTTTCAGTTCGGACAAGGGGGAAAGTTGTACTGCACGCGCACTAGAATAGACCGCATGTGGTAACCTTAAATGTCTAGTTTCACGAAATTTCAAACAGAAATATAAATACTTACATATTGGAACTACGTAGATAGAAAAGAGGTCAAATGAGTTAAGAGTGCATGCCCGCCTACACAAGACCCAGGGCTGAGCGTGAGGCTAACCCAGTTGCCTTGGCTCAGACCCTCTCCTGGGGGGAGCCGGTCAGTTCTATTATTCTGGGGTTTTCCTAGATAATATGGACTCGAATATGTTTTAAGAGTGATTATTTCCCTATTCAAGTGGTATTCGCAGAGATTAGCTGAGTATAGCTTGTAAGTGCTGAGTGTGCACCAGGTTGAACCACTTAAGAGTTACACGTAGTAACAGCTGGGCACGCTGTTCACTACACCGGGTATGTGGTGACTAACTCCAAATAGGACGCGTGAACATTTTGACTCAGGCGAAAATGGGTCATTCTCTTCGCATATGGCGTTGGTTTTTCGATGTTTCGAATCCACATGATCCAAAGCTGCGAGGGTGGTTACATCCCGCTTGCGCATTGGCATTTAATTTGAGTTTGGCCCTTCTGGTCGCTGGTTCTGCTTTCTTGGCGGCTCCTCCGACGTTTCACGGAGCATGGATGAAACACCAGCCTCAGGCAGTACTCTACTTTGCAGAAGGCGCCGCTGGCCTTGTAGACAACTTGAAGGGAGTTGGCCTCCAACCCCCCTTTCTGTGGCTATGGCGAACAGTTGGGAATGCTCTGTTGCCGGACAAACTGCTGTTCGACCAAGAGCAGGCCTTCGCACTGTATGAACCGGAAGAAGGGGGATTTAGTCCGCGTGCATTTGGGACTTTTCTTGCGATTTATCTCGCATTGATGCTTGCCAGCCGTTTGTACGAAAAGGGGCCAGTGATGCTCTATGATGCGGCCTGGGCCTGCAACTTAGCCTTGGCTCTAACAGCTGTTGGTAAGAAAACAAGCAGCAAAATGCATGCTGGACGTAGGCTCCCTTCCCACGCATCACCGTGAAAAATTCAACTGAGGAAGGTTTGCTGTGTATGCGCAGCGCTGTGGCTCAACATCCCCTTCATCGTCAGCGCAAGCTCCTGCTGGGTAGCTGTAGGTGAGGGTTCCATCTTCCACAGAGCGGCGACTACGGATGACACCAACTTTTGTACATCATTTTTGTGGCTATTTTCCTTGTGAACTGCTGCTGCCTCGAGATTGGTTCATCAGTGGCGAGACTGGCGTTTGCGTTTCGTGCAGACCAGCTGCTTTGGTACGTGGATTGCATTTCATACATAATACGTGGGCGCTTCTTGGTCGGTGTTGCAAAGTACATTGCAAATAAGGATACGGTGAGTTCCAGTACATTCAAGAGCATGAGGCCCCCTAGCCTTCCGCCCACAGAAACACTCACTATTCTACTGCTGCTACCCGTCTAAACAGTGGCTTACGTGTGTAGACGACGACGTGTCATGCATTATCCTTCCGCTGGACGTGTATGTGCGGCACAGCCTTGGACGAAGAAGCTCTTCTCATCGCATCATCTGTGGTTTATACCGTTCACTACGTACATCAACCTCAAGAACGCTGCCGGGCACAGCCCATGTTGCCTGTCTGTGTCTATGTTCCTGTCGTTTCTGTGCGTCCTCGGCAGCCGCTGCTGCACTCCGTATGCAGTGTGTCACCCACAGCGCCGCCCCTCTAGCAGTGGAAAGGCTAGCGACTTGAAAAGCGGCAGCAGAACCGAGAAGGGCACAATGGATGTGCTGAATGTAAACGTGTCGTGGCGTTGCTGGGCAGATGTGACGCATCATTTGCCTTTCCTTGGCATGTTCGATGACAAGCCCTGGTACATGTTTGTCTTGTGGAATCAGCTCGTGTGGGGCCTCGGGAACTGCATCCTCTTTGGCATGTTTCTAACTGTTTCCAACCTCCTTAGACGCTGACTTTTGAAAATCTAATCACCAGAGGCTATCTACAAGGCAGTCATCGCCTTAGCCATTGTCAGATCGAACACAGTGCCGACTGTACTCACTGCTTAGAGGGTAACCTGCTGTGGGGGAGGCGCTCCAAGAGAAGCAACTGCTGATAACTATTCACATCCACTTGCACTTGCAAAGCAGGTTCAATATACAGAGAGCAGGCAGTGTCGCCCTACTGGCAAGACAAACATGCGGTTTATTCATTGCCTCAACCTTCACCAGTCTTTTAGAAGCGCAAAAGCGCACGCTGCACGCTGCACCGTCATTGTGACCTGCTGTGCTCCGATGGTCCATTGATGCCATCTGTGCATGAATCCTACTGCACAGCTGAAGCAACCTATGGCTTGCAAATTAAGCTGGACATTTTTACACATGGGTGCTGACTGCCACTCCCTAGGTTTCTCATTGCCGTCTGTCCAGATACCATTAGCTGACAGCAAAGAAGAGCCCCACAAGTCTAGATTCCTCTGAAAGCCCTACAAATACCAATTCCCGCCTACATTCGGCAACAGAAGTTCCGGAGTCCACCTCGGTGAATGTGCCTCCGTAAACCCCAAAGCCGAAGTGAATGCAAATACAATGTACACCGAAGTGCGCAGCAGTGGTGTAGCACCGTCAACCCATTCGACTACTTCTCCGCAAGGAAGACAATCTTGTCTTCGGGTATGCCGAAATTCTTCAGAAGGAAAGCGGCAATGGTCTCCTCTACGTCACCCTGAAAAGCGCCGCGGAATACACGCCAGACAAGACAATACGTGCTTAAAGCGGTACAGCCCGTGTGTGTCGGGATACACCTGCTACGCCTGTTGCACTAGGACCCAGTGAGTCCCAACGCCATATCTCTATCATGGCTATCGCGCGTGACTGCACAGTGCTCACGGTGCTGACAGAAACGCAAGAGCACATGCAAGCGTCGACGACATTGACCCACTTGAATTTCAACAAAAGGCTTTAGGCCAGGTTGCCCCTTTTGGAATGAAGACCCACACGCAAAATGTTTACTCGCAAGTTTCGCCGCCTGTTCCGGTTTGACGCCTGCGGCGGCAAAAACAAAAGGATATGAGGGCGTTCCCCATCTACATACACTCAGTTGCATACTCACCTGTCATCAAAGCAACATAATATGCTTCTTGTTTGACACTAAAACTCGTTGCATTCAAGTTGTATATGGACGCACCGAAGTTTTCCAGCCCCCAGACGTTCGTGGCGCATTTGCCTCTCCGCTTTGCTTGTTTCTGCACAGTCACAACTTCCTGAAAAATATTAACAACAACACAGACCACTTTGAGTTTATTAACTGCATCACAAGAGTGAACGCAGGAAAGCAGACACCTGCTCATCCTTATGTGAAGAAAGATGGGCTCGCCTCCTTGAAGCAGTCTGCTGAGCTTCTCCGAGACCCTTAGGATAAGAATGGTGAACAATGCCCCTCCAACAATGGGAGCCGATGCTTATGAATACATTACATTTACATACAAAACCTATCTAGCCATCATCTTCTGCAACATTACTGCCGAATGATAACTTGGCTGTTTCTCCTGCCGGCAATTGACGGCTCACCGGCTTCGCACCATCCTTTTTCCCAGCGCCTCGTTTTGCCTCCGATATTGCGGCCTTCTCTTGTAATTCATTTGACAGTTGCTCCTCGTCGTCCTTTTGCTTTAACGCCGTGGCCTGTTCACTTGGGTCGTCCTTCGCTTCTGCTTGCTTTGAACAGGCGGCACCCGAGAACTCGCAGTACTCAAACGGCATACCGCAGGCTACGTAATATGCCAAAACAGAACAGACACAGGCCGTATCATGCAATGAGCTGTTGCGCTTAAGCGTCAATCTACGCTCTTCCATCGGGCTCTTGCGGCTTCAGTGCGCTCTCATGGATATTGTTGGAGTAGAACAGCAGCTGCTCTTCCCTGCACTTCCGTGCATTTGGTACGCTTCTACCAAAGCTTACTCGGGCAGTATTCAACTTTGCAGGGACCCGTAATTGGTGGTTGTTGGTCTTGGGACGAGCTGTCACACGGGTCTGCATTATGCGTGTCCCCGTCTGTGGGCACCTCAGCGGGGTCATTCACTGTGGGTGCAGTTGCACTTGCTGGCTCCTTTTGTCTAGAGTGCTGCTGCTTCTGTAGTAGCAATTTTCTCCTCGCCCGGCCGGACAACGCAGGCGCCTCACTGCCGCTTCCACTGCTGTCGCTATTGTGAGCGTCCATTGTCCCAATTGTCGGTTACGCAGACAACAGGGCAAAACGCCACGCTAAGAAGACAAAATTGAACTATATGACTGCCCTGGAGCGTTCATGGCAATTATTATACTTTGGGCTTGTTTAAGATGCCCCTCTCTTCGCAGCGGCCGCGGCTGTGCATGCTCGTTAGCTGGGTTCGCGGAAAGCCGATATAAATATGCTAAGTTAAACTTAAGAGACTAATATCATCACTGTTAACTAACTATTTCCCATTAACTATCGGAGGTGATATGCATCTCATTGGAACCCAAAGCCGTTAGAGGCAACTAACCCCCTGAACTCCCCGCCCGCCTGTTGGCCGCCCGCGGTTGTTCAATCGGGGAAGAGCATTCCAGCTTCTTCGTCTTCGGTGCTCACAACGGAAGAGACGGTTTTATTTTTTCCAACAGATTGTGTGTGAAGTATTAAGTAAAGTTTGTTTCGTTCTTTGGACGCTTTGTGTCACGGAGATTGCTCTCCAACTTCAGCAGGCAAGCTGCTGCCCACCAAGCCGGTGCTTCGGTCCAGCGGATCTAATGCTTTGCAGGCGCAGTTTTTGCAGATTCTCGCTTGTTGCCTTGGTTTAAGCGTTTCTAGACGGTATCAGGAGGCGCCTATGGCGTTCGGCCTTGTGAGGCATTTGCCTGGACCTTCACCGACCGGGCACACACATCAGGTGCCGCGCTGAGCTGCAGCGGGCGAGGGCTATTTGGCTTGCTTTTCCCTAATAATCGCCCAGAAACAACCTTTACTTGTATACGGCTGCAATTGGGGCGGAAGGAACACATGCAACCGGGAGAACCAGTGGCGCACAGGACAGCCTCCGCAGCTTCCTGGCTATCTGACGGTCGCTTTGCAAGGTTCACGTTCCCCCGGTGAAGCCGCGGCGGAGGCCTGGGATTCTGCTCTATTTGACACGACCCGTTTGCGTTTGTGTGTCAAAGTCACTAGCCGTCGTTCAGGGAACCGATGCTGGCGCCCGGTTGGTGGGTCAGAACAACGCCTAGCACTCGGAACCGCACAAGAACGAGGCGACGCATGGAAACGGCAACGGAGGCTGCAGTGAAGTGACAGCGTAGACGATCATACGGTTGCGTGAACTAACCAGTGTCAAAATCAACTCGAGAAGATCAAGAAAATGGGGGATGCGGCGAGTCGCTTCACCTCAGCTACCCCGGTGAATCCGCAAAAGTTGACTCCGCGGCAGCTGCAGCAGCTACTGAGCCATTTTGGTTTAAATGAGGTGAGGCCTTAAAAATAATGGGCGTAGCACAAAAGTGTCTGTAGTAGTGCTGTGTGCGCGTCTGCACACTTCGTTGACCAAACTAAGTGCGCTTAGTCATACACATGCGGCACACGCGTGCTTTGTATGGCTGCAGCTCTCTCCGTCGAAGGCGCGTATATCTTTGCTCGGTTTCGTCAGAGCATTCCCTGGAGTGCTGCAAGGGCATGCAATGCTGCTGCTGCCGACGCTGAAGGAAATAGCGCGGCAGCAGCAGACGCACCCGCACGCGCATGGGCTCTCCTTTGCTATTCTGAGCAGCAGCAGTTTGGTTCCCGAGACTGGCAGTGTATCTACAGACATAGTAGGCAAACGCTGCGGTAAAGCCAGTAAAAAGCAGCGGGAGGCCTTGAAAACGGCAAACAGCATTGCACTGCAGGAGGTCATTGACTCCATCTCCTCTTGCTGTTCCGGCGAGGCCCCAGAAACGGAAATGCTGCTCACAGAAAGGATGCTGGGGAGAATCGCGAGGAGCTTCGAATCTAGATCGCTCTTATCAGAGGAAAACGAACACGTGCGCCAGTCGCTTGAGTCCATAGGGGGCTTATGCATTGACCCACGGGTCGCAAGGTGCGCATCATGGCTAAGTTGTCGCCCTTCTCTTGATTTCAACACGCATTTAGTCCCTTGTTGCATCCGTAGTTGACTATCCTCCCTTTGTGTCTGCTGCAAATGGGCTTGCATTTATCTTTGTTACAGCGGGGAAACTGGATGTGGCTGATGCGTGCAACTGGGCATATTGTGGGCTGTGGACAGACTGGCATGTATTTCGCCATTTTGGTTTTCTGTTGTGGGGCATTGTTTGTGCACAGAAGAGGATCAATCAATCGTAGTGCAAGCGGAAGCGTCAGCAGTGGCAGCAGCCGTCTGAGCCTTACCTACGTCTCTCTCGGTTGCAGCACTCGGGCCTGTGTCGCGCTAATGCAGATTCTGCAGTACGGGTATTTGGAGCTGATGTACTTGCTAAACCCAAACAGCCTCGTGTTTCAAGACAAGGTGGCGCGTACAACAAGCGGCTTGAGTTGCAACCAAGCACAGGAGGTACAGACGAAAGGCGTATCAGCTCGCGGCGTGCACGCGTCCTCTGCATGGGACGCGGCGCCAGCCCTAAGGTTGATGTTCCCGAAGGAGTTGAACTTCACCTTCGCTATTCGCGCGATGGCTGCTGCTTTTGCGGAGGCAGCCGCACCTACTAGCATCCACGCAGCCACCCCCACTGCGGCAGCAGTTGCTGCTGCAGTTGTAGCAGTCACCCAGATATCAGGGCTGCCGGACGGCAACAGCAACAACAGCAACAGCAGCAGCAGCAGCAGCAGCACGGTGATGCGCAGAGGCGCCAGCAGCACAGAGCTCGCGGCGCAGGCCTCAGGAGCTGTTCTGCATGCAAGTTCTGGCACAATAGGCAGCGGCGGCTTGCGCAACGAAGTTTTTGCAGTCCTGTCGTGGATCAGAGCAGCCTTGCCTGTGCTCCCAGCCCTCTGCACCCTAGGAGTCGCAGCGCATCTTCTGGGGGACACTGTCTTCGACGGCCAGCCACAACCAGAAAGGAACGATTCCAGCCTAGCTGATGTGCAGTACACAGTGAGGCAGTGTCCCTTGGTGCTGCTGTTGTGTAATTTGGGATGAAGTACTTATACTCCTTGTTCTGAATATGCAACCTCCCGTTCGTCATCGGGCTAATGATCGAGCCCTGCGGCTCGAACGACGGACAGATGTAGGGCCTGTCCGCAGTGCGGTTTCAGTGTTTTGGAGAACCTACGTCTGCTCTGTGACGGCTGCTTTTTCTTTTCCAGAAGGTATTAGTTGGGTGTGTGGGCCGTTTGCTTGTTCCCCATGCAGGTCTATGCAACACGGCGTCGACAAGATAACCGTTCATCTTTGCGCGACTCAGCGAACGGCAGGGGGCGAGGCGAAGGCGGCGCAGCCATCGGACAGCCGAGGTCACCTGCATGGAAGCGGAGCCCCAGTGCAGAAGCAATTGCGGAGGCGACGAAGGGTTGGCATGGGCAGGGCACGCTTGACGCACGCAGCAAATGCTTCACTGACGAGCACGCATTCGTGGTAGGAGAGGGTGCAGCAGCGCACACTTACACTTACGCGAAAAGCAAGGATATAGGGGGTGGGGTGGCCGGCGCGGACGCATGTGCATGCATGCAGAGTGCGTGCTTGTGCGCTTCTCGGGATGTACTTGGGTTCGTTGTGGGGTGCTTATGTATTCAATTGTACTGCCCCCGTCTGCATTCTCCTCAACTCTGAACTGTTTAATTCCCGTCATGGCTACACTTATGGGGCCTTTTCCCGGATGTGCTGGAGAGAACTTGCGTTTCTGTTCGCAGTATTGCTTTTTTTACGCAGCTTCGAATGGCCTCGAACCTGTTCCAGTTCCCTCCAAAGGCTCCGTGGACCTGTCTTTACGCTTCTTGGAAGCACGGCAAGTCTTCACCAACGGTTGCAGTTGAGAGTTATTTAATGTTGAATTGTAATATATGTTTACCTCGGACTATTGTATTTGGCCCCATGGTGAGGTATTAGAGCTCTGCAGGAAGAAATTTTGGGGGTTGTTATTGCTGCGTATGTGGGTTCAGGCACCAGCTTCAGTAGACTCTGTGCAAATTGCTTCTTCTACTCCGCCCCTATGGTGGCTGTCGTCAAGACGGAAGAAGGCCAGGTGCTTGGCGCTATCATTTCGTGGTGAGCTCCTCCTCCATATAAAGGCTACTATTTGGCTTTATGTGCAGATGCACAACAACAGTTTAGACCTCTATACTTTGTTTGTGTGGTCCCTTGGAGATCGGTGGCAGCACACGTCTGTAGTCGTAGGCACGGAGGCACAGATTTGCCGCCTCTGACGCTGACGTACATTCTAATGATGCTTCCTTCGGAGAAGGAAGCATCATTAGAATTCTAACATCATTAGAATGTTAAACCAATATGCTATTGAAACGATAGGTTTGTGGATGCTTTTTTTGTCGTTTTTCAGTGAATTGAAAGAAGGTGGACATAATTTCTTCGGCGACGCCAACACGTGCTTGTTCTCGCTGGAGCCGCAGCTTAACATCCTGAGGTTCGTCTTCGCGCAAATTTAACACTCGGAACTGCTGCCTGGAGCTTCGGAACACTTTGGAAGCAACGCAACAGTGTTTCACCACTAACTACAGCGGTGCACAGCGGTGTTGTAAAAGTGAACGCTACAATCTCTGGACGTTATCTGTGTGCAGAACGAGTGGCTTGGGGAGGAACTATGTTTACCTGAACACGAAAAACAAGTTTCACCCAATTGGCTTGGGATTCGGTGGCCAAGTTGGTGCATTCCGCTTCTGGATTGGCGACGGTGAGCAAACGCTGGTCACTACACTTGAATTTGTTTTGTGCACACGGATCAGCATCAGGGTCAGATGCAGCGGAACACCTCCGAGTATCGATTATTATTATGCGACATTATTGTATTCAGTTTCTTTGGGAGATGTGTTGTTATGTGTTCATGTTTTTGTGCTGTTTTGCTTGTCTCAGAGATGAAGGACTGTTACATCACCAAGAGCGATTGCACCTACTCACCTGGGCGGATGCTGCAGACGATGAACGAACCCATTCCGCAGGGTTGTGAAACCCTTGATGCCGTGGCTGCCTTGGCAACAACGTTAGAAGGGGTGGGCACTGGTACGAGCACGTCGACGTCATCAAGACCGAAGGCGGAAGCAGCTGCGACTACACCTCCAAGCGTTGAGGAGACGCTCTCCGCCAACTTTCTGTGCCCGCTTCACGTGAAGGAACTTGAGATCTGGGGCACAGGGGACGCCAGTGTTCTGGAGCAGCAGCGGGCGCTCATGAGACAGCAAGATCAGGTAAGCAAATGAACCCCCTCAGCTCTGTCAGTGCTCTTTAGTACATAGAAATCACAAGCCGCCACTGGTGGTGGGTGTGTATTGAGCAGCATAAGCCTCATACATTACATGCGTCAGTGGGTTGTTTTCGTTGGGATGCGTCTCTGGGGTCTTGCAGCTGCGTCAAGAACGGCGTCAAGTGGACAAAGGGCGCCTTCTAGACAACAGCTTTGATAGAGAATTCCTTCTAGGCGGCACCTTCAACCGCGCCAAGGGACCCGAAGCGCCGGCAGTCTAGATTTAGCGAGGGCCACCTTTTATTTAATTACCCGCACCATCAGTCTCTGAGTCATTCATTCATTCAGGTTTGATTGAATCGCTCTTCAGCACGACGACGGCTGCTTCGGGGCGGCTGCCGCCGCCTACCGGTGTGAAGGGTCAAATAGATGTGCGCTGACATAAGCACCTTGCCCATGCATGCTTCAGCAACGCACTTGCATCCTCCACATCGTAACATAACACCTTGGCTGAATGTATGCAGGCTGCGTTTGCGTCATTTGCGTGGTGAACAGCGCCCAGAGGCGCTGTTGAACATAGGCGACAGACAGCCTCTCGTTGCACGCTACCGGGCGCCTTGCTGCCTGCCGCCTTTAGGCGACGCTGCTGCATTATTTTACTTTTAAGCACCAGCCGCTGTTCATCTTGGCTGTTGTGCTACTGCCTGTGCTTTCGTCAAATGCTCATTTAGCAGTGAGTAGCAACCTCCTCTGTGTACAGTGTCATCAACCTATATCGCGAGCTCTGGATGCATGCATGCATTTCCATGCTTCATGTCTTTTTCAAGCCTCAATCCCACACTGGGTTACGGAAGGCATTTCATAGAGTTCCTTGGAAAGCCAGAGCATTTCTCTGGGGGTATTTAAATCCTCACCTTTCTGAAGAGCCGAGAGCAAGAGGCATGGCATGCACATCAAACCATGTAGCCACCTCACTGCATGTAGAATATAAACCTAAGCCCGCGGAAGGTGAATATGCTGATGAAGACGGTTCGAGCTAATCAATAACAAGCGCATATTCAACTTAACAGGAACTTTTAGGTTGAACAAGTAGGCTCTCCACGGGCATTCCGCTGAATGGCTTGAGTGTCAGTCAGTGGGTGTAAGACGCATGCTCCTGCACCGTGGTGGGAACGTAGGTGCATGCACCTTTGCAATGGTTTCTGTATTATATCTGTATATCTGGATTATACTATATATACGGGCCCCTACTGCCTGGCCTACTCCGCACCAGGAGGGTGGTTGGGCGTTCATACTAGTACAAGCACACTAGACACTCTAGGGGTTTAGGTTCCGACGTCAACGGTAAACCCTCGTAAATGTCACTGGGTCTCTTATGCGAGGTCCGCAGTATTAGAAAAGCAGCAAACGTTCGCACGGCCTAATCCTTCTCGGGTCAAGTTAAACTGATCGCGCAAACGTTGCTTGGAAGACTTGCATGCATCCACGCATACGTGTATGCGCGGTTTTCGCGTTATGCAGTCTTCTTCTACCTCTAAAAGTTTTCCCCCCACGGCGCACATCCGACACATTACCCTCAATGACAACATGTGCACCTGCGGGGAGATGAAGGCCTTTAAGCCAGCAGTGCGTACTTCCTCCTCGGGACGTTCTGCACTTTCTTTGTCTTCCTGCGGCGAAGTACACAAAAAAATGGCCAAGGACAGTCAAAGAGAGTCTGCTGCGTATGTGCACCGCTAGTGAATCGGAAGAATGGGCTAGCAAGAACAAGTAAAGTAAAAAGTCTTAGTTCGTCTCACCGCACAGTCATCTTTCTGCGCTGAGCCAGCGTCAGCCGTCGTCTTATGGCCCTTGTTTTCTTGAATCTGAGGTCCTTGGGCTTGTGCTTGTTTCCTTGGAAGAACTTCTTTGCCTCCTCCCTCCTCTTCTGGTTGTACACTGTCAGCACGCGGGCGATGCCTTTGCGCACTCGGGTTATTTTTGCCAGTCGTGATGCGACTGCACCGGTGACCTTCGCAACGCGGAGCTGCGAAAGTTCCTTCTTCAAGTCCTCCAGCTGCTTCTGAAGGTCCTTAGGGGCCTTCTGCCTCAGTTCGTGTGCTGCGATGCCAACCTGCAACAGCAATAGCATCGCATCTCTGGTTGCTCTATAATCTCCAAGTATGCACTGCAACAAACCACCAAAACGAAATCACGAGGCATGACAACCACACTTCCGCAACCAGAATAACAAGCGGCTGATCCATTAGGCCCAGCACAAGGGGGCCCGCCCCCACACTCGGTTCAACGCCGCTCCTGCTGCGCCTCCCTCTCCACACATTTAATACACAAAAATACAGAACAAAGCGAAAAAAAGAAGATGGCGTGTATCGCCCATAGACAACTGTGGGACACTATCAGAACCCGTACAGAGCAGCAGCAGACTCCAACAAACTGAACCCTGCGATGAAGATAAAACCTGCTCTTTACTATGATTGTGAATTATACTAGAGCTAATATCAACCAACAGATCTCCGCTTCACAAAGAAACAGGTATCAGGCCCTGGCCAGCACACCAACACGGCGATTGGTTGTCTGATGCTGCTGCTCACCATCTTGACGTGTGGGGAAGAACCGAGACTGGCCGAAGTTTAGGGATTACTCTTATGGCCCCTTTTAATGCGTTTCCTCCTCAGCAGAAGGCGCGACGGCAGCGCAATTCGATGCTGTAGGGCGGAAACGGACTGAGCTGCAGCCCCACCAAAACCGCGGGGCCGTCCTGCCTACCCCGCAGCAAAGAAGCTGATGGTACAGAACTACTGCGTTTAGTTTAACCCTCACGTACTAAAATGTAAATAGCCCGAAAAATTTACCAGATCAAAGCATAATTGGTAACTAACATGGCTAGTAAAATCTATATTGAACAGATGCCGCTGCCATTAGCACTAAACAGTTATGCTGGCACTCTGCGGCACCGGTATCGGCACAGCCAAACTAGTAATCTATTTGCAGCTGGCTCATGTAGAGGAGAAACCCCTGTTTCTTCTACTAGTAAGCGTCCTTGTTAAGCGAATAAACCGGGGTTTGTCAGGTGAAAAGATGATGAGAATTGTGGTTGCCCACAACATATTGAAGATTATTGACATTCATAGCGCATTGCCCCGCATGCGTGACGCCATTTGAGGCCCAAGCGCAGTCAAACTGTCCCTATCAGGACAGAGCATAAACCAGTCTCGATAGTATTGTACAATATTAAACGCAAAGTCTAAATTAATTTACCATTATTCTGCAACAACGTATTTCCCCCTCCTATGCGTGAACCTCTGTAAACTGCGAGGGGAGGCACCGCTGGATCCTGATGGCATCTTGAGCGAGAGAGCCACAGCGGTTCTGCAAGGTCGTTGTGGTTATTTCTCTCCTATGGCCGCATTGTTACTCATATATACATCGGCATCTCGTCTCCATCGGTGGGGCATAAATGAGGGTCCGGCTACCGTTTGAGGCCCTTCTGTTTGGGGCGGCTCTAGTATTTACGTCACAAGGGGTGTCTGCTCTCCAGTCCAGTCCAGGAGCTAATGATAACGGCGCTGAACCCAAAGTGGCGTCACCGTTGAGGAGCAGAAGCTTGTCAGTAGCTTCCGCCCATGCAACTACTGCAGCTCTGCCGGTGCCTCCTGACTTTGAGCGCAGGCGCGCAGGTGGACGAGCAGTTTACCTGGGAAGGCGAGAGAAGGCGGCTGCCAATGCCGTGATAACTCTGGCCCTTTCTCTCATATACTATGCATATGTCTCGGGTCGGGTTGTCGAGGAGGCGCGTGCTCAAGCGCCAGGCGAGCGGCTTCCAGAAACATACAAACGCGCATTCGGCATCAGTCCACTCATCATGTCGTTTGAGATTTTTCTGACGTTTCTGCCGGGGCTTTTTCTTGTATCAATGTTGCTCACGGAAATAAAGAGACGCCGTCTTGAAAATGCTTTACGGTACGCGGGATGACGCCACGTGAAGGACTGAAGCGGAGATGCTGCTAGCAGACGACAGCAGGGGACCCAATGACGGCGGGTTGGAGATAGTAGAGTGGTTTCTACCCGCGGTAATGGCGTTTTTTTTTCGTTTTCTCCAGTTCTACGAGGCCTCAACAAAGCATAGGCTACACAACTCCCTAGAAAGCTCCGAACAAATTCAATTTCACCAAACAAGCCTTGCAGGGGTCTTCTGTCCCTCTTCTGCTGCGAATTTCTTTTGAACGAACCCCAATTATATATTTCGGGGTATTGCATTCTGGACTAGATTTCACTGCAGTATTGATACCCTCACCAAACAACTGGCAATACAGTATAGCAGCTCCTGCTACTGGTTGCGCATAAATTCACAAGAGCACTTGCTCATGGGCTTCGAAGGGAGCACCCCCAACTTGTATATTTTTAATATTTTTAAATTCAATGTCAACGAAGTCTCTCCCGTACTAATGCTCCACCGTATGCCGGTTGGGTTAAAAACATATCCAGCAATTTTGTTTTTTTTTTTTCAGTTGGTGGTCCTTGCTGAGTTATCTTGTGGTGTGTATGACTTACAATATATATAAATAATGCACATATGTAAGTTGTTTGTCGACGTTTATATGTATATATATCGATAAACTACAGCTTCGACAGGCGTTGCCTAGTACGTGTGCAATTTCATTTGCTGATTAGAAGTCACTCCACAACAATACTGCCGTGCCCCGCTGTACCCACAGAGAAGGCGGGTACTGGGCGTGAGCTGGCAAGTCGACGAACGCCACGAGATCTCTGCACACCCAGAGAGAAAGATAAAACAGGAAGAATATACCAAACGATTATCTCCATCTGGTGAAACGGCAACGCCTGCGGGAACCTCAATTATAGCCTGACGAATTGATTCTGTTGGACTTACTTTCGAGCCCTGTTCAGAAACAGGGGAGTAGAGATGTACGTCACTCCCGCCTGCTTGAATTTGCAGCCGTCTGCTTTGTGGTACCACCGCATGACCATAGGCGGCAAGTTGGACGCCAAGGTCTGCGTGACGTCTAAACACTGCGGCCGAATATGCAAGACAGCACGAAACACAAAGTACGGCATGGTGCGCAGTGCGCAAGTGCCATTCAGAGACGGCGTTAAACGAATACAACTTGCTGCAAAAAAACTGACTAAGGGGCAAAAGACTTGCTCGTGAGTGAACAGACTAACCGCTTCAGATGTGTTCCAGGCTGCGCCTTCGACAGTCAGTCCCGTGATGGTGAAACACTGATCGTCTTTTGCCTCCAAAGCGCCCACAATAACCTCCACGGCAAGATCGTCCAGCGACCATCCCTTGGCCTGCGCCACCGCCTGACGGGTTGCAGTGAGGTACGCTGAAGGAAAGAAGAGGCCACCTAGCCAAACTCTCCACTGCGTTAGTTGGCCGTTGTCGCGCTGTCGTGAAAGCAAGTGCATGGCCGCCTCTGTCTGAACGTCCTGCTGCTCCTCCTCTGTACCAAACTCGCGAGATACCATCGTTAGCTGCGCGAGCCGACGACTGAAGTCTTCTAGCCACTCCTTCACCGTCAGCTCCTGCGCAGAGACGTACACCTGACTCCACTCCGGCGGAACTCTCGATGAAGATATCTGACTCGCCAGGTCGCGCAAAGAGTTCGTGATCTTCAGTTCGCCTTTGCAGACCAGCAGAAGCTCCCCAAGGGAATCGCGGATCTGCTTACAAAGCCTGTAACAGAGAAAAACAAAACAGCTCACGAATCAAATGCCTATTCCTTAGACAGGAAATGGCTTCACCATGGCATTTAATGCAAATATGCACGCTGTTATATATACCACCTGCTGGGAAACAATGACCCACCTTGCACCCACAGCCAATTCACGCTCGAAGCATCGGAACATTGGATTTTGCACCATCGCGTCTGTTCGCTGTAAGACAGGAAGCTTGTCTGGCAACGTAGTAAGGCAGGCTTGCACCACAGGGACGAGCAGCGTGAGCCAAGAGGTTTTGGGCGCCTCGTCTGGCTCTGCTTCGTCAACTGCTGCAGTGCTCTTCTGCTTCTTAAGGCCCTTCTTGAGGATGCTCTCCGCTATAGAGTGGAAGTCCAAATCTTCTTCCTTGCCCCGCAGGAGCAACGTTGACCAGTTGGTGACGCACCTCTGAGCCTGGCGGGCAGCCAGCAGCCACTCGGCGCGGGAATTGAATCCGATCCAAGCGGGCATGTCTCGCTGGGGTAATGAGTCTACCCATTCTAAGTACTGCTCGTGCGTCTTGTATAGCTCAGCTGGGGCTCGCAGAGCGTCGGAACTGGACGCGTCGCCTCCCTTCCCAACACTCGGCATGTTGAGACAGAAGTCTGACTCAAATGCCTCCGGACGGAACAAGTAGTCTACAAATGAACGCAATACTCTGCAGCAGGCGACAGCACAGAGACCCATCTGCACCCGAGATCGAAATGTGTAGGCACGGTAAAAAGCTCAACAGCAGTGCTCGACGACCGAAAATCCTCTACTGATACTGCTGCCTCTTCTGGGATGGCCCCCGTTTGTGCTCTTACCGTTCATCGACAGCATTGTCTAGCCTTCCTCCGTAACACACTTGAGCGATCAAAGTCCGAATTGCAGGCCAGGGGATCCTCTCAGGCGCTACATGGTCAGAAACTGTGTCGCCACGCTGCGCTACGGCTGCAAGCCATGAATCTACAATGCTCAATGCACACTTCTGGTCGGCTTCTGAAAACTCGTAGAGCTTGCACCACCCAACCGGCGCGTATCTGCGCCTTTCCAATATAATCGCATGCAGGAAAGCAAGGAGGAACTGCAGCCGACAGCGAGCTGCGGCAGGGGCCTGGACGGGCTGAGCTTGGGAAGCACTTCGACTAGAGGTACCTCGGCTCGCGCTGGCGCCGAAGAGCATCGCATACGACCTGTACAGGGACGCCTTGATGCCGAGTGGAGGCTCGAAAACAAAAGTACAAGACGCCCTTACCAGAGTGGCAGGCACTTTTGGGTTGTACTCCATAGTCAGGAACAGACGGAAGTTCGTGTGCGCCTGGCCACGGTGCAAGTTCGTTTCTAGGTCCTGGAGCCACTTAAGAGAAAGGTGCACGTTCTTGCACAGCACCCAAGTTCCTTGCCGAGTAGCCTTGGCAATCGCCTTATCTGCCAACTCGAACCCCTCCTTACTGCCCATTGCTACAGAGCTAATCGGCTGCTGGACAGCGGCAGCGAGCTGTGCCACAAGGCTGCTGGGGTCTGAACCGGGAGATAACACAAAAAGAACCGGCGATGTATTGCTTGCCTGCTTCTCAACCACTTCTCTCAGGAGGTCTTGTGTCAGTTCAGGAACCGTAAGAAAGTCCTTGCCCAAGACACTTTCACACAGTTCTATTAGGACGCAAGTCACGCGGTCAGGCCTCAACGCTCTCAGCACCAGAAGCTGGCGCAGTAAGGTGATCCACTCTCCAAGAGTAATCGTGCCGGCACTGCCTATCTTTTTGTCTGCATGCGAATGGGGTTCCGCTGTGAAGACATCATTGGGGAAGTTCGCTTCAGGGGCAGATGACTGGAGCATAGAAACCCATTCCTTCTCGTGGGTCTCCATATGCTCCTGGAGGCCACAAAAACACGGAAGCGCCAACAATTTCTGCAGCGCCTTCATCTGCTCGGCTGTCAGCTCGCCATGAAGCGTCGTTGTCCATGATGCCGGAGAAGCAGCTGCCCGATCCTCTACGAACCCCTGCAGGAGCAACTGTAGCTCGGGCAAATCCAGTGGGGTACCCAAGTCAAGCTCAGTCCTGATGAAACACAGCTGCAATGCAAACACGAGTCTGTCGTAATACCCCAGGCCGTAGGCGACTCGCTTGAAGGTCGTTGAGAAAAGACCCGACAAAAGAACAGCTAGCCTTTCGGAGTAATCTGTTTTCTTCAACTCGCTTAGGCCAGCCGCCCCCGTTAGCGTGTCGTGCAAAATGCCTGCGAAACGACCCAAAACATTCAAGGGAGGAAAGACAATTTGCGTCACCCACAGATATATACCCTACAGTGAAAAAATTAATGGGGAGGACCTCACCTAAAAAGAAACGGAGGTCGTACTGATAAACAGGAGAGACGCAAGATAGATTGAGCAGCGTAAAGTAAATGCGGCCCGCGGCAAGGGCCCATGGCAAGTACATGTTGCTCGTTTGGTCGACTTCTGCCATGATTTCTTCTGTATGAGCGGCTTCTGCTGCGACTTCTGCAGCCTGGCGCTTGAGCATTTCCATTGAAGACATCACGGAGTCGTCATCTAAGATGTTCCCCTTCACATTTGATAGCGCAAGGAGCAAAGCGTCTTCGAGTTCGCGTATCTTCACCTTGAATTCTCCCTGCAGTTTGAGCATGTCTGACCTCTTCTTGTCAATGTCTGCTCTCTCGCTCTTCAGTATGATATTAAGACACTGGTTCACCAGCGACGAGGGCGTCAAGGTGAAGTTTATTATTGTGACACGGCTGCAGATGTCGGGTGTGAATTGAGCGGTGGGGTCCCGTGTGGCGAGGTACATGGAGAAGGCAGGAGACAAATCGATCTCTGAATCGCCGACAGTAATCAAAACACGGCCTCCAAGCTTGTGCGTTTCTTTGTTGAGCACGGGGTTCAGAATAGGGTCGACCTTTTCAACGTCTTGAATGACCAAAGTAGAACCAAAGCGCAAACTGCTTTCCAACGCCTTGAGGAAGTTCGAGTCCAAGAAGGACGTCTTCGACAGCTTGTTAGATGACAAAAATGACGTCAAGAAATGTATTGCTTGACCTGCAGGGTCAATAATGAGGGGGTAACGCAGAAACCGCTTTAGAATGATGGCGTTCTGAACAGAAAGATCGTCAGGGGGTAGCGAATGCGCCGCCCATTGCAATCGCTCTGAAGGTGTGGAGAGAAAGTCTACAAATGAGAGATCATTGCGGCATCGAATGCACTCCCTCTGCAGCACTGCCCTCCACTCCTCCAGGAGCCGGTGACGGTCCGCGTATTCAAAGAAGCCCAAGTACGCACAGAAAGCTGCGGCCAGCAAACTGTCGCCGATGAAGGTTTGAGTAGCCAGTTTAAGCTGTTCCAACTGATCAAACCACCGGTTCTTCTCGGATCCAAGGTTCTCCAGCAGCGACATCGAACGCGCGCACTTCTTCTGCACCTCCTCCATCTCTCGCTTTATGCTTTGAACCTGACTTATCAATTGAGCGTAGTCTTGTTTGTATTGCTGCAGTTTGCCCTCCAGCTGTGTGATGAGGGATTGCTGCTCCTGCAAATTCGCCTCGTTCTCTTGCGCTTCAGTCTCTAGCTGAGCGATTTCAGTCTGCAGTGGTTCCACCTGCTCACTAATCAACACAAACTTTACGCTACTTTCGACCCACTGAGCGAGAGGGCCTGCCGCGCGAGATGCCTTGTTGATTCGCTCAATGTCCCAATCACCCGTCAAAAACTTCGTTTGGATCCTCCGCCGAGTTGCAGGGCTAACGGAAGCGCAGTCGAAGTTCAGAATCTGTAAGCAAAGCAACACAAAGGCAAGTAGGCCGAAAGTGAGTGTGTATCAAGCCCAGCAAAGGAAAATGAACATATCAACATAACAATCCTTGAGTACGAGCAAACGAAGCTCTGCCTTGCCTTTGAAATAAAGTCAGATGCCTTCAAAATCTTTTTTGCGTCTTCCCATGAGACGGCTTTTTCCCCTGCATCTGTGATGAGGACAGCAACAGCCTCCACGGCCACCTTGGCCATGGCTGGGGGGTTTGCCATACTCTTGAGTTCATCAAGACTCTTCTTTGGAATGTTTGTGACCGCCTCAGCCGCTTCTCTCAGCAGCGGTTCCACCTCGCTCAATTGTGCCTCTACGACTGCTCTACGTTCGTTGATGATGCCAGTCTGCTCATCGAGTTTGCGCGCAAGCACTTCTGCACCTTTCTTCTTGTCTTCAGCTTCTGCTTGCTGGTCGATCATTTGCTGCATCTTTTTCTCAGCCTCGTCGTTCTTCTCTGCAAGCACTGCACCCTTTTCTGTGAGCTCTGTCCTCATTTCTCCAACCTGTCTTTCTACTTGTGCGAGAGTTTGCAAACCGGCTTGCAGGTGATGCTGTTGTTCTCCGCTAGCATCGTTCTTTTCGGCAACAAGCCCTCGGAAATGATGAAGGAAGTCAAGGAAGTCGCGCGGCGTCATATAGTTCGACTTGCGGCCACTCTTTGAAAGGATAGCGTTGCTCTTGGCAACTGCGTGGTGGAAAGATACAATGGCTGTGGCGAGTCTGCTGCGGCGGGCGAGGTCATCTGCATCCGCGTTCATTTCTTCATCCGATTCGTCAGGTGCTGTCTCCCGCCTAATGCTGCTGATTGGCTTCGCGCCCACAGTGGCATCTGGAGTGAAGCTGTCTGGGAGGAGTTCGATGGAGTCAGTGAATTCAAATGCCACTTGCTCCATGGCTGGTTGAGCCCAATCGCCAAACCAGTCAATGACGCACCTGTTGAACAAGGCGGGTGAGGTTGCCTGACGATTGTAGAAGTCAGGGTTCGCAGGATTCATCGTGAAAATAATGTGCAGGTTCCTCTGCACTTGCTTCGTGAAACGTGCAAACAGTTCGGATGATTCCCCGCTGCCCAAGTAGTCGCTCCCGTAAGCTGCCTTGCATTCATTGATAAGGGCCGTGTACTCGTCGCCTTCGAAAAGTCCAGGCACTTCGCCTGTACGCCAGATACAGAAACAAACACTCAACGGCAGACGAGATGAAGGCTGCGCTATACTCAGAGAGAAACAAACCCCACGGTTGCCATTGTGAGAGTGCCGATGCCACTTTTTCGAACCACCCGAAGTGCGGGAAGGCTCACCTGATGCGAGAAGAGCATTCATTCTTTCAAGGAAGGCTGGCCCTAATGCATTGGACTCGTCAATGACAAACGCAATCTTCTCCTCTTTAAGAGCTGCGCGCTTCATCACCACCCGAAGGTCCTGCTCGAAGGAAGCTGTGCTGTAGTTCCTGCCTGCTTTTATCTGGAATATGCTTAGACCATTCATCCAAGAAACGAACTTTGTTAGAATCGTTTTCCCCGCTCCTGAGGCGCCTACCAATAACAGGTGCCCCAGTGGCTGCCGGAGCACTCTGTCAATCCGTGCCACATGGTGCAGAACTTCATCGAAGAACACCAGCTGCACCTGAAACACTTCTTCATTGAACACACGCAGCTTCCCTTGCAGCAAAGAACGCAGAGCAGGCATAGAAACCTCACAATACTGGCGACTAGCCAGACTGGTAAAGAGGATAGGCCGCTGTAGAGCTGCTTCGCTAACGCTGGGGAAATGCCTGAAGCACCACAATCGCATCACACAGCTAGCAGACAGCTGATGCACGGATGCAAGTCCACTAATCGCATATATGTTCGCCTCTGTTGTCACAGTATAAAACACCTTGAATCAAATTAATCCTTCACAATTCGCTAGGAGTCAAATGCATTGAATTGGCAGGAGGCGACGCACATACCCAAGCCTCGCTACCTCTGCTGGAACTCACGCTTGGACGATTGCATCCAGCATCTTGTCGGTCTCCTCCCTCTCTGCTTCTGTCACCAGCCGGTCGCTAAAAATCCTCAAACCCTCGTGGGCATAGGTCCTGACGAGCTGCGTGAGGGTCATTTCGGTGTTATCAGTTGTGCCGCCGAGTGGTTCACCCCGTCCCCAGCCTGTTTCACCAGATGATGCCTTCCTGATCGCTTCAGAATCTGATCTCGCTCCCCCCTCAAGCGCCTCTGCCAACGCCAGCTTCCAACGAGTTAGCTCTCTTGGGGAATATATGTAGTGAGGCTGCTGGTCAACTGTGAATGTGCTTGAGAAAGAGGTGTAGAACTCCACCATTGCCATGGTAAGGGCGTCGGCAGATGGGAACAGCCCAGGATAAGGCCGCAGAAGTGCCCTGTTGAAAGTACTGTAGATCTGAGCACGCAAGCACCACAACAGAACCTGCCGGCAGTCTACAAAGAGTTGATGAGAACCGAAGTGAACATATACGCGTACCTGGATAAGCGATTCCTTTCCTGGGAAATCGACGAATATAATGGGCGCATGCCGAAGAAAGCGATTGCTCATGTGGTGACGGCCCGCATCCGTAGGAGGATTACATGCTCCTGCAAACTGTACTCCTTCCACGCGAATCCACACCCAAGGCGATGCCTGCTGGAGCTGTGGCATCGATCGCCAAAAGCCTCCCGACTCTGCAATTTGGCGAATCAGCATTATAACGTGTTGCGTGCCGTACTTATCCGGCGAGGGGAGGTTGCACTCGTCGCAGAAGATGATGAGAGTTCGTCCAGGGACAAGGGGTCTCATGACCATTCCTCCTGCTGCAGTTTTCGTGAGCTCGCAGTAGTGGTCAAAAGTCTTGAATAACAAGTCTGGAGTGGTTCCGGAGGAGAAGTTGAGAAACGCCACGTCAAAGTCCGCACGCTCCTTCAAGACTGCCGTGAGCGTCATCGTCTTTCCCGAGCCAGGCGGGCCACAGAGAATGAACGGCTTTTTCTCTTCGAGCCATCCCTCGACAACATCACGATGTCGTAAGGTGTCCACTGTTTGAATGACAAGGGAGGCGTCCTTCACCTGATATAATACGGTGGGAGGCAAGGGAACACACACACATCCAGACACGTTTGACCGTGAAGATAAACAGCTAAGAAAGAATAGTTGTTCCCTATTTTCTTTAGCAGTCTCACCTGCTGGGTATCGATTTCCATCTGTTGAACCCGCGCCTTCCATGGATGCCACTGCCCGTCTTCAAGGGACGGTTCAAAGTCCAGGAGGGTTTGTCCCCTTGCATCGTCAGATGTAAGGGCAGCAGGCAGGGGCAGGTCGCAAATGCTCGCTACTTCTTCGCTGAATGCAGATCGGCCCGCTAGGCTTAAAGAACCACCCATTCCCCATAGGATGGACAAGACCATCCACTGCAAAAAACAAAAAGGGAGGCAAACCACCGTATCTTCGGTTCACTACAATGCATTACGCCCCAGCGACATACATAGTGTATATTAACGGCAGTGGGACGCTTCAGTAAAACAGTGAAGTGCCGGAATAATGATGGCAAGAAATATGGCACCACCAGAAGCAGCTTCTTGCCTTTGTGATGAACTGTGCTATGAGGTCGTCATCCATAGATTCCCCCGTTGATCGCAGTTCTTCATTCTTCTCAACAATGCGATTAATTCCTTTTTTCAAGAGCGAAAACATGCTCTCGACGCACCTGATCCTAGTGAATTCCATGATGTGCTGGTGCTTCATTGCCCTGTCTAGGCACTGACTTGCAAATCCCCCATCACAAAAGAAAGGCTGAAGGATGGTCACGCAGCGCTCTTTTATACCCTGTGCAACAGCTTCTGCAGCTCCCCTGCCGCCTGATACCCCTGCGCCCAGCATGGTTGACTTGGATGCCAGTTTCGCGACACTTCCCTTCGAAATAATGTGAGAAGCCGATCGTGTAAATTCACGAGAAATCGTTCGGCTCGAGCCACTGCGGTCGATGCCCTTTGCCTGCCCTCCCACCCCTTGAAGTATTACTTCCGTTGCAGCTGAGCCAGCAGCTATTTCATCTAGGTGATGCTGGAACACGACTTCGTCAGGAAGCACGGAGCTCGCGAACCATACAATGCCACAGCGACTGACAGTAGCAAGGGTGGCGTATTTGAGGGTTTCTACTTCGAAGAGGAGACGAATGCAGTTTGGAATTTCCAGCCTTTCGCCATTAGGAAGAGTTAGTAGCTTGTTGTCATCCAGAGCTGAGTTGAGATTCTCTGCCCAGTCGGGATCGACGTCTCCGTCAAACACAATCCAATGCCTCTTTTGGGGGGCGCCACTCCCTGCCTCCTGTGTCGTTGCGAGGATCTTGCGTAGCACTGCAGTGAAAACTCCGTCTTGCCACTCTAATGTTGTGGAATCGAGCTTGCCATATAGTTGCTCTTTCGCCACCACCTTGGGGTCCAAGACGTACGACATCCCCTTTATGCCGTCAACTTTTTCCATCGCATCCAACAGCACGCGCCACGCAGCGGACTTCCCGGTGCCTACGGGGCCTACTAGCATCACACCATGCTGCAGCCTTTGAATTTGGTACAGCTGCAGCACTTTTTCCAGCCACTCACCCTTCGCCTCCAGGAAGCGCGCTTCGCAGAGGCGTTCGATTTCGTCCAACAATATCTTTTCCTCCAGGGCAGGAATGTCGGCCCCTGGGAACACCCCCATCAGCAGACTCCGAAGAAGAGGAACATCCTGAGCTACGAGTTTCGGCACAACGGTGTCGGTGACAGACCGGATGAGAAGTTTCTGCTCCACCGACTCCACCACTTCTGGATCGTCCACAACTGTCCCTGCCCCCGCTTCTTCCTGAAGCAGCTGCCGCTTCAGATTGCCAGCAGAGCTGAGTGCACTCTTGAGGGAGCGCAGCCCGAAATCGTAGTGGGGCTGCTTAGAAAGCTGTCTATCGCACAAGTCATACAGGGAAATGATCTTGCTCGACAATCGCTCGGCGGAGCGAAAACCCTGTGCGTACAGAGTAACCTGAGCAATAAGCTGCTTGTCCGGTTTAATCATCGCCACCTCTCGGAACAGCTGCTTTAAGTTGTCTGGCAAGTTCGAACGTCCAGCGTAGCCGGGGTTCATCGTGACGAAGATTCCAACGTTGGTGTTCAGCTTTGTTGACTTCCCAAGCAACTCTATTTCCTTCCGCCCTTCGCGAAGCCCAATCTGGAGGGACGCAGCAAATATCATAATACCGAATAAAGACACACTTAATAAATGCAGAGCCTTCTCTGTAACAGTCGAAGCTCCTGCACTAACCATAGGTGCCTCTCCCGATGACTACTGCATTTGCATGCATGTATGAGGAAAAAAAAACCCGTTGCCTTATGCGCACAGACAAACCTTCAATCGCATTCAAACATTCTTCCATCGCAAACTCTAAAACTTCTGCTGTTGCTGACCTGGATTGTGAGAATCTGTTCTGAAACGGCAGAGAGAATCCTTTCATCTAGACGGTTAAACTCATCGAAGCATCCCCATGCTCCCACTTGACACAAACCCGAAAAAAGACGGCCCATTGCGTTGAAATCGAATGTCTCGTCGCAGTTAAACACCAACGTGTACCTCCCCAAGGCAGACCCCAAAGCCTTCACCGACTCCGTCTTGCCGGTCCCTGAGAAGCACGAGCCATAGAGAAGTCGCAGCTAGACCTTGTGGTCTGAGGCGATCTGTTGACCACCAGTTGCCTGCCATGTGCTCGAGGGCAGAAGCACGTTAAGGTGGTATCCGCGCTACCGCTCTCGATTCAAAATACAGTTTCGCACCTGCAGGGCCAAATGGGTTGCCCCCCAGTTTCATTTTAAGGGCTTGAGTCAGAGTTAGGAAGCACTTGTCCGTCAAGGGCGTCTGTACGAGTCTCTCCGCCATTCCTGCAACCTCAGATCACCCTACGAAATGTTCATCACTCCTCATTTCCTTTTATTGGAAAATGCACGCATGTCGGACTGTGTAAAATTCCGAACTGCACCCAACCACTAGAGTATGTGTTGCTGTCTGTGTTGCTACCTTGCCTTGCGTATTACTGCTGTTCCTGTTGCTGCATTTAACTGTTTGTAAATGCGTCAGAGGATGTTGCGAATCCAGTGTAAAGAGAACCCTGCACTACAGAGAGAGTTACCCAAGTATTCGAAGCCATAGTCGAACGTGGCATCCGCCATGCACACTTTGAGAAGACCCTGAGGAATGATGGGGCCCGAAGGTGAAGGATGCGTGAAGTAGAAGCGCATGCATTCAAGCCATTTAAAGTCCTTCCTAGATATCACCTTATTCCTCACTAAAGACCTGAAAGGCAGTCACCAGCCATTCATAGCAACAATCAGAGTAGAATATAAGGTACAGACGGCTACGGCGTGCCATAAAGAGAGGAAGAAGTAGAAGTACCTGGCAAGACCTTCTAAAGAAAAGCAGTGTTGATGATGTAACTGCGGTGTCGCCTAACCATTGCGCATATGCATACCTGCAGACATCTCTCTGGTGTACCACTTCTGTGATCATGTGAACGATTCGATTGCGTATCAAGGGACCGACATCCTGAACAACGCGGTCAGCCAGGAATCCGAGGAGTGCAACGCAGTCCTTCAAGGCAGACGCTTCAAGCGGGTGTTCTGTCTGTTCAGAATTTGTTGCTTGATGAGGATCATCCGATGACAACGCCGCTTCGCATTTCTTTGTCCAGCGGATGTTCATTGCCAGTAGGAGCGCTTGTAGCGGGAAGTCTTTGATCCATTTCACGAACGGATTTTCCAAAGGATCGCTGCCTGATGGGGCTGCCGTTGTCACCTCGGCCAGGTCGAATTGCTCCAGAGTTCGAAGGGCCCTAGAAACGTTATCAGCCAATGAAACAGTCATCTGCAGCTCCACGGCGCTCATCCAGTCCTTCAAGGATGCATACTGCAGTATAGAAACCCCGTTGATAAAAGGAACGACTTCTCCCTCCCTCGAGCTGTAAAAACACCCAGCACAAGCCACAGGACGGCAGGCAACTGCAATGGGGGGAAAACTGCGTCCAGAGAAAGACATGTTGTAGGAGAGAGAAAGAACTCTAGGAAAAGCACTTCAACCTCCTGCCTATCCACTCTCATCATTTGGCCTTTACACCTAAACAAGAAGTGCTTTTTCGTTTGGACCATTTGCGTGACACAGGCGGCACAGTTCTGCTCACATCATTGCAGTAATTGTTGTCGGATCTTCTGAGTCGGTCTCCAGGGCTGCAATCCCCGCGAATAGTTTGCTAATGTGGCGCTGCACAAGTTTGACGTCTTTTGCATTTCCAATCATTTCTAGGAGGTCTTCGTCTCCCACAAAGTAGAAACGAGAAAACTGCTCCCTTTGCTTTTCAAGGTACTCTCCGAGGGCCTTTTGAATCCGCGATAGCATATCCGACAACCTCTCCAGCTGACGGGCAAGGCCCTCCGTCGACGCTACCTGCATTCATCAGCAGTGACCCCTTAACGAAGAGGAGCGCATGAGATACATACCGCTGGCAAGAAGATTCATGTAAACCAAGCGAAGTAGCCCAACGTTTGCACTGTATGCAAATCTCACCTCCAGCACTACTTTGGTAGTGTCGGCCTTCTTCATTATGCCCTTGAACTCTGCGTCGATTCCCCTGAATCTCTGGTGCTCCGCAGGAAGAAGCATCTGAATGTCTTGGGAACCGGAAAAAACCCCCTCGAGGTACAGCCACTTGCGCTGTACTTCCACCCAACTATCCAAAAGGGTGCGCAACCTGTTCAGCTTCTCGTCCCACGTAAGCGCTTCCTCTTCAAATATCTGCAAAAACAGCGAACGATAATGACAGACACTTCATTAATCACAGCAAGAAGAATACCAGCACACGGAGTACTACACGCATTAGCAAAGTAGAAACCGACGCTAGATAATATGTGGATGAAAAACCAAACACCTTAACACTCAAAATTCGCATGTAAGGCGCATTGACGGAAGTCAGTTCTCTTCTGCGTCCAAGTCAGCAAAGAGCGCTCGGCTTGTTGATGCTTTCATCTGTACCCATCAAAATGCTTTTCGTTTACTGGCACGTGATAAGTGAAGTAGCCCACACATATATGCATATAGAAATAAGACACAAGAGTTCCTTTTCGTTACCTTGAAGAAGGGGGACATTTTCATGGACTGGATGGAGGCGAGTTGGTCATCGATGGTTTGGAAGAGTTCTTCCCATCCTTTGATGACTTTGCATTTGCCTCCGCAGGGCACCATGATGAATTCTCGTTCTCTCCACGAGTCTTTCACTTGCCGCAAAAACTCTTCCAAAGCGGACTCGCCTTGGGCCTGCACCAAGACGTCTCGAATATCCGCTTCGTTTGCAGACAGATCAGCATCTGCGTAAATGCGCAACCCACCCACAACCAGCTATTATCAATGCAGTCGACTCCCTGCAGTCAAGACCGCCTCAGCAGCAGTAGATGCTTCGAGTCAACATGAATGCGGCTGCCACGACATATTCAAAAACACAGCAACACGGGACGGATAGCCTCATCAGATGCTGCTCTACTACGCAGGGCAGTTTCTGCTGCTGTCTGCTTGTGTACATGCACGTCTCACCCCACAGGTTTCCTATGGTCATGTCTGTAAGAGATTTGCGTATTTTGAGTTTGGAGAGGATCAGCTTCCAATGCCTCTCTTTCAGCGAGTCGGTCTTCATGTCAGTGATCAGCATATTCAGTGAGAGGAACTTATTAATTTTTTGCTTCAACTCCTCAAAAGCCTCGTACTGCCGGAACCTGGCGGGTATTTGTTTGATCCTTTCCAGCAGCGACTCCAACGCACTTCGGATTTGCTTTGGCACTACAACAGCCCACAAGGTTTCTCGAAGAGCCCCTAGCTCTGTGTGCAACCCGCCTAGTGCTTGCCAAACCCCCTTCATATCTGCAATTTCTTCAGCGAGTGCTGAGGGGGAGAACGCCTCCCCTCCAGGGCCAAATGCAGTGTCTTCGACGCCCAAGACGGCTTTCGCTTTCTCCCCGCATTCATAATCCGATGTAATCTTTTCAAGCTGCTGCTCATACTTCCTTAAGATGTTCATGGCATGCCCGGGGGCTATGTCGTCGCGTACAGGACGCTGCAGCATCCAGTCGGAGTAGAGCTGCTGAAGTTTCTCCTGCAAACTGGCCGCAAACTGCGTCACTAGAGCAATGAGTTGTTCTCGCACTTGCTCTACCATCATTCCTTGGTGTCTCAGCAGCTGCGTAAACATCTCCATCTCCCCTTCGATTCTGTCTGTCCAGAGCCAGTCACTTGGAAAAGTGTAGCGCTGCCGCTCTAGCAAACGTTCACTCGCTCTCAATGTGTCAATCGTGGCACTCCACTTGGGCTCTAGCTTGCTCGCCTCCTGCAGCTTCAGAAGAAACTTGGTGAGGTTTGACACGATATTGGAGATAAGTTCATCTCCAATAAGCCCTTGGCTGCTAATGAGAGCTGACATCTGTGCCTCTGACATCGAAAGAAATGTTGCCGCGTTCATAGTCGTGTCAGTAGGGTCTGCTGTCTGACCCTGTTCTTCGAGGTCAACTACCATTGCGTGTAGAGAAGTAAACACTGAACTGGCGTTTGCTGCCACCTTCTGCCCAAAGGCATGCAGAATGTCGCGGTGCCAGGCATCATAGCGCGTGTTCAACTTTGCCTGCACCTGGTGGTGATCTACGATAGTGGGACCGCACATTATACGCGCCTCGCTATTGTCAAAGGGGCTCCGTGCTTGTTTTATTTCATTCAGCAGCTGTTGCCAGGTCTCGATGTCGTCTCCTAGCTTCCCCAACACTTCGCTTACATCTACATCCCAGAGAACCTGATAGTGCATCCAGTTGGCTACGTAATCTTCGACCTTTTCCATCACCCCTGAGACATCAAAACGCAAATTGACCTTCAAGTAAACTACAAACCCTGCTTAAACGACCATACGGGGATTTAAAACAATCTAAGGCCAAGGTGTTTACATGCACCCTGCTGGCCCCTTGACAGCATCAACAAGGAAAGCAAAAACCGGCTCCGGAAAGCTTGTCAGTGCCAACAACTTGCGGTTATCCAGAAGAGTCAGTGACAGCAAACGCAGCAACGAAACCCACTGTCAATGGCTGCATGCGCCTTATCCATGACATCAGGTGGAATCCGCGAGGCGATACTTCTGTAGGTGCCGCGCGACTGGGGTTTCATCGGGTCGTCGTCTTGCAGGTTTTCCTCGTCAATATCGTCATAGTCCCACGCCGTCGGCTCCCCACCAAACTTCAGGGGTCTTGAGCTGTTTCGCGAGTTAAAACGGGGCAGCAGACACACGGACGCCACCACGCGGTTCAGGCTGCCCATCCACAGTTGACGCGCCGCCTCTACGACGGGATGTACTTGCAGCACTTGATTCTTTACCTACAATGAAAAGAAACAAAACCCTGGAGACAAACAAATGTCCAGTGTTCCCGCATGCATGGGCCTGCCCTCGTCAGCAGCCCTTGGACTATGCCTGATCTATTTAGGCATATAGAGGACCAACTCCCCCCTTCCAATCCGCTGACTGTTTAATGCGGCTGTAGCTGTGGCTGCACTGAGATGTACACCCACTTGGATTTCTAAGACAAGTCCATTTTGAATGAGGGCAGTGCCCTTGTTCGGCCAATCCTCGAACTGCAACGTCCACTCCTCCACAAGTTTAACGAGTCGTTGTGTTAAAATTGCCTCCACTCGACTCTCCAACACTTTAGTCCAATCGCGTATGTTGGAGTAGTTCTGCAGATGCTGTTCTTCAATCAACTTTTGCACGTTTTGCAGCACCTGCGTTGCCAGCATGCAGATACCACTCAAGCTCTGGGCGTTGTATAACATATTCTACTGGATACATCTAGGCAAAATGTGCGGTATAAAATGCTGTTGCAAGCAGACAACTCGTGCAGCTCAGCAGGTGGGGGCGACGGGGGAAGAAAACACCCGCGTGCTTGTAGGACTGTTGCTTCTTTCCTTCCACCGGCAACTTCTCAGCATTAGCCTTCATGACTTCCTAATTAAACTGTATGACTGACCGCGAGGATGTCTTGGTACGGGGCATCAATTGGCTTGTCTTTCAGTGTGTCGATCTCCTTGATTGCCTTCTCGTGCTGCTGCAGGGCGAATTCGGCCTTCGCCTCGAAGATGTAGACTATTTCTGCAAGGCGTCTGACGTACGTTTCCAGGCGGTCTGAGTCCCACATGAGGTTCATGCCCTCAGCGATTTTGACCTGGCAATCGCGTTGATACGCAGCTACAAGTAGGGCAACGGCTGCTTCCTCCTCGCCTCCTTCAGTCTCCTCGGAAGATGCGCAGGTCGAAATGGTGTCTCCAACCCGCGCACTGGACTCCATGTATGTTCTCAGTACTTCTTGAAGGGTTATAGCAAACGGGTACAATACCTTCGCCTCGTCTGCCATGACTTTGACAGAATACGGAACGCGAAATTGAAGTGATGAGAGCAGCCGAACCTGCAAGAGAATGGACAACCGAAAAACTCAAAACCAATGGATGACAGAAGTAACCAAACAACCACTCTAGACTCGCGCATGCGCAGCCACATCTGAGCCCTTCCTCATCTTGAAGCCCTTAGAACTCTTTGATTGCACCTGTTGCAATTCAGCTCACCTCCTTGAACAACGTCAGCATATCTCTGTCGAAGTTCACAGCTAATTCCAACCGGCCTGCCCCCCAGTCTTGCAGAACAAAGATCCTCTCTCCAGTGTCCAGCCGTTTCTGGTCCCGGACAACATTCAGCCAGTTATCGAAGTGTTCCTGGGGGTTGAGTTTGGCGCGAAAGAAATCAATATCGAGTTTCAGCTTCTGTCCTTCAACGTGCTGCTCCCACCCCTTGCCGAGAACGTCCTGAATCCGCTGTACAAGCGCATCTAGTCTTCTTTCCACTTGCTTCCCCCAGACGATCATGCCTGCAACTCGGGGCATATCACGCACATCTGCCATCGTGTTTGACTCCACCTTTTGATGTCCATCAAGAAAGATGCCTTGCAGGCGTTTCAGATCCTCCTTGACAACCTGAATAAGTTTGGTCTGGTACTCCTGGATGGCACCTCTGATACGCGGCCTGAAAAAGAGCGCGTTGAACTGCGAGAAGACGCGAAACATCTCAGCTGACGTCTTTGAGGCCCCGAGACGATCTCGCAGTTTCGCCGTTATCTGTGACTCCACACGATCAATGCGCGTGTCATAAGCCTTTTGGCCTGCCTCCCATGCCTCTTCTCCCGTGCGACTCACGTCCAAGACATCCAGAGCTTCGATGATTTGATATGCTGCAGCGATGTCTTTCTGTGCAGCCACATCCCTACCGCTTCCGTCGCCCAACACGCGGTTCAACACCTCCTTCAGCCGGTGGTGTTGACGCCGGAACTGCCGCACTTCGACAATACGTTCTTGCAATACAACGTGTTCGCACACGAGTTTGGAGGGCGGCCTCTCGTTAAGGCCTCTTTTCTTTGAAAGTTCCCTCACTGTTTCTCGGAAATGCCGCACTTCTTCGTCCCAAGTCCTAAACAACTCGGAACAGCCGGCGGCTGTGTGCTCGAACTCCTCATAGGCCATCGCTATCAAATTCTGCCTTGAGGTGATGCTAAGTAACTGAGTAGAGAGGTCTCTACTGAGAGCCTCAACCAAGAAGTACGCTCTGCTTAAGGGATAAAGCGTTGCATTTTTCAGCTTTCTTAGGTGAGCAAAGATGGTGCGCACCGCCTGCGTCAGCTGTTCAACAGTTTGGGCGCTACACAAGTCGTTGAGAGGGAAATCACGCATGAGGATATTCGTGTTCTGCACGATTTCCGTTGCCTGCTTCAAGCCTGAGTCTTGCTCGAAAGACATAGTGGCAAAAACTTTACGCGTGTGCTTTAAAACTGTCAACGTGAACTCTGCTTCCGTTGTCTTCAGCTGATCCTCCACGTGCTTCAGTGCCCTCTCAAACCCCAACCAAAAGTTAACTTCTTCCGCAGCTGTGCCAGTGCTCGGGTCTCTGCACAGCACATAACGGCACACGACTCAGCGATCAGACGACTTGGGATCACAGACTACGAGTCGTAGGGGGTTTGTTTCAGACACACACCATTAACTAAGCCTCATATAGCACCGGTTCCTGCTAATTGAGTTACATATCTCTGGATCTGTGCGAAGTTGAATGCGAACTGTGGGAAGGGCGTCAGAACATGTATACGGGGGGAAGTGAAGCAGATGGGCTGAGGCTCACCGTTGCATTCTGCAGACCTTTTGGATGTCTTTGATCCACCGGTTGACGTGGCTTTGCAGTGCAATGAGGTATGTGCTGTCTTGCAGCTTGTCGCCCAAGTCTTCAACTGCGGGTTTGCGCTTTTCAGCTGCTGCCTTCACGACAGCTGCTTTGATAACCGAGTCGATGGGTAACTCAATGAGGGGAATATCAACATTTTGTTGGGCCTGCTGAACCGCTAGCACCAACTCCCTGAGCTTCTTGCTAACAGTCTGCATACCATGCGAGGCGCGAGCTGCTGCTTCTTCTGTTGCTGCGCCGTCGGCGCCACCATCAGCAGCAGCTGATGCAGTTTCCTCTTCGGTCGCGCTCTTCAGCAGTGGGCCGAAGCCGCGCTGCATGTACATCTCCGTCACGTCCAGAAGGCTCTCCTCTTCTCCAAAGCCACACCGCATGAGTGCAAGTTGGGGGCCAATAGGCTTCGTGACGATGTGAGTCGCTCTCCCTGCGCCATCCTGCCCTGCCGGTGCCTCCGGCTCTGCAGGTTTTTCATCAGCTAAGCTAAATCCAGGCCGCTTAATAAATGCAATGCTGCACGATCTGCCTCCTGCTTTAGCAACAAATCCAAGGTCCACGTATAAGTTGTAATTTTCTTCTTCGTCATCCGCGTCGAAGTTAGGAGACACCGGCTGCCCTCCTTCTTCAGGTGTCTTGCCACTACCAACGGTTTCACGCGAAACCTCCTTGCCTATAATCAATACCCCAGGTTGCTGCTCCACTAAGAAGGGTTTCAGAACTGTCTCTGCTTGCGTCGAAAGCAGCTTCTGCAGCTGCTGGCGACTGCACCCAAGCAGCGGGGGCGTCACCTCCAACAAGAAATTTATGAGCGAAACCTTCGCCCGCTCAACTGTGCGATCCATGATGATCAAATTTGGAAACAAGAAAAAAACAAAATCGAGAATGAGAAGAGCTGCTGCTGGCCTCCTCAGAAAGGTATTCAGCTCAATAGTGGGAGTTGCATGACGCCGGTTGTCGTCTCTGGCTGCAGCCGTAGGCGAGGCGGTGTGGCTTCTAGTCTGTCACTGCAGCTCGCATTCGGTGTGCTTCTCCCCCATGCAATCGGTTTGCCAACTGGATGTAACTGTTATTGAAAAGGAGAAAAAGTGGAGGGAGACAACTGCTGCACAGGTCGTCGGCAGCTGCTGCAAAACAGGAAACGCTGCAAAACGTACAACTGAATACCCTCGGAGATTAAATGACTGAGACTCGGGAGATGCAATTGCTAGCCCAGACTCGCCTTCAATGCAGAAATGCGGGCATGTAGATTCAATGGTCCACAAGAGCAGGCGGCCGGAGTCGGCTCGCTGCTGCGTTTGCTGCAACGAGGCTCCTCACAGAACCGCGAAAAAGGAGAAGAAACGCTACGCTGTCATTTGAATGACCAGAAAGCGCTAGAATAACATATCAAAAGAAATATTGGGTCTCAGAGATTTAACACTGAACCCGGACCACATGCAACACAGCCTACACGACAAAGAAGAGCAAGGGCTCGCCGTCGTCCTTCACCTCCGCTACTGAGGTGGATCATAAAGACTGTAGAAATAGTTTCTTAACGACGAAAATTAAACAAATAGAGTTGTAGTGTGTCCATGAGGCAGGAATGCGTGGCTTCCCTTAGGCCTCTTCTCCACGAGCTCGCTGGTCGTGTGAGGCAATTTCACCAGCTGTATACCCCCGATGCGTTAGACCATTTGTCTCTGCGCAAAGTTATTCTCACTGCTTCGAAGATGTTTGCCCCCAAAATTACATTAAAATAAAGTGTAAGTTTAGCTAAATTCTGCATTTCCGTTTACGCGCCAGTCCCTGTGTCGCTGGGGGCCGCATGAATGCCACTCCGACTGGTCGACCCCGTACGAGCCCCGAGCACCTTCTTTGCCGCTGCCGTCGTCTTTTACATAATTCATAAATTGTTAAAACGCATTTATTTCTGTTTTATGAGAAAACGAATACCGATATCGGTGTCACCCTCAGGACAGGACACACATGCGTGCATACTACTCTGTAGAAGTGGAACGACTTGTGCCCAATATTACCCCTTTCCCCTCCTTTTCCATCTTTCTTGCAAATTTGAGCTTTGTCTTCAGCTTCTTATACACAAAACACCCACATTGCCGTTGCCTCTGTATATACGCTGTTCCCTCACTGTGGACGAACATTCGGACCCCGCGGTTGCACCAGTCGTATTCATCTTCTCCGCGTGTTTTGTGGAATTCCTGCGCCATATCGACATATAGGACGCTATCTTTGTTAGCTGAGGAATAGATGCTGCTTTGAGGGTGGACGAGGCTTCGAAAAAGTCGACGTGACCATTTTAACAGCGGGAGGAGGAGCAGCAGCAGTTGATTACTGTTAACGTGGCGTTGTGTTGGCGCTGTTCGCATACTTCTTTTCAGATTATGCCTGCATGCTCTTCCAGCCACCTCATGGAGCCACCTGGTTAAGAACAAGCATTGGGGTCCCCCGCCCCTTTTGTCTGTCGGGGGCATTAAGGCGTGTTATTTGAACTGCACGACTATGCAGTTTAGGTGTGCCGTCTTGGCGGTGGCAGCCGCCATGTTATCTTTCCTCTTCCTCTATCCGGACACCGCAAGTTGCGGCATCCCTGGCCTCCACAAATGGTTTCGGCACCGATTTCCTGAGGCTGTGCGGCAGGTTCATAAGAAAGACATTATTGAGGCAGACCATCTCCTCTTCGATTTAAACCAGCTGCTCCATCAGGTAGCGAAAGACTCTTCCTCCGCTTGTTCCTTTTCTCTCGGGCCTCTCTCTTTAAACCCCACACCCTCTCATTCTTCCCATCCCAGCTTCCGCTACTCTTGCTGCTACTGCTTCTGCTGCTTTTGCTGCTGTCTGACATCCTGGTTCTTGCTGCTGCTTGGCGCCTGCAGGCCGCTCTGACGTCGCCATCTACCTTCACGGAGAAAGGCAAGGCGGCTGCGGGGTCTACTGGGGCCCCTACGAGTTGCAGCGCAGCAGACAGCCGGGTATTGCGTGCATTGTGGTGTATAATACGGGGCACTTTCAAGCGATTTAGGGTGAAGAAGAGTGTTGTCTTCGCCATTGATGGGGTCCCTCCTCTTGCTAAACTGACTATCGCCCAGTTGCGAAGACAGAGAGCTGCGAGGGCCGGCCTACTGTCTGCTTGCATCGAACAGTGTCTCGCTGGGGGCCATCAGCAGCCAACGACAGACAGCGGCTACCCACAACCCGACGAAGAGGATGATACTGCTGCACAAGAGCAAGAAGAAGATGGAGCAGCAAATGACCGACTCAGTGGGGGAATAACAAGCACGCGGAAATCTTCTTACAGTATTCGTAAGGGGTTTGCACCGGAAGGGTTATGGTGGTGGTTTTGGTGGGGTTGTTGTTCATTCTGCGTATTGTGGTTTTTGCATTTACAACGGGCTGGCTGCACGTGGCATTTGCCTTTGCTGCTGTCTCCTCATTCCTCAGGAGCTGCTGCCATCTGTCTCTGCTGATTCTGTTGCATCTTGGCCCTTCTTGCTGTTGAGGGAGGAGAAAATGACTTCGACGACTCAGTGCAGGACTTAAAGGAGTTGTGGTTTGCATTGCCTGTTGCGGTGTATGCGCATACAGCCTCCTTTCTTCTGTCTCCTGGAACTTATTTCATGCGCCGCGTGGAAACAGAATGCAGAAAGCTAGCCAAGCAACTCCTGCGCTCTGGACAAATGGAAGCCAACAAGTTAGTCACCAAACGCACTGCCTTGTGCTGGTCTGTGAAGTTCTTGTGGTTATTTTCATTGTTATTGCTTGAATTTGCCATTTGCTACTATATGCCATTGTTTTACATATTTTTGATTATTTGTTCTTAATTTTTACTTGTTGTTCCGTATATTGTTTGCACTGCGTACAGCCGCAAGCAGTTTGTACCGAATCCAGGTTCAATAGATGCAGGCTAGCTCGGGTGACCGTTGGGATGTATACTTGTTTGTATGCTGCAATAATGCTAACAAAAGAGGAAGTGCTGCAGTGTATCGAGTTTCGCTACATGATGCCTAAAACCTAAACCCTAAACCCCAAGCTATGCCGGTTTCTTAGGGGAAGTTATGTGGCGCTTTTTAGGGTTTACGTATCGGGTTCGTCTTCGTTTGGGGAGGGGGAGTTGAAACTGGCGAATTGGATTTGTGAGGCATTATCGAGTAGCAAGCGTACAGAAGACAAAGACAAGCAGCAAGAAAGATATCAGGAAAGGGAGGATAATACAGGAAAAGAAATTAAAAGGATAGACCCCAATGACACTATCGTTATCATTGGAGGAGACGCAGACCTGGTCGTACAGTGTCTTGCTTTACCTTCTACTGCAAATCTTTTTGTCTACTCACCACAAAATCTTGCAAACTCTGAACACACGAGAGGTACATTTAGTTGTTGCACAAATATTACCACTCTACTTCCCCGTTTTTGCTGTTGTCTCTCCTTCCGCTGCTCTTCACACCTCAGATGCATGAAACGGACGTCTCTGCATGTAGCGACTTTTGTTGCATCCTCCACATATTTGCCTTTTTGCCACAGCAACTCGCTAGGTATGCGTGCATGCGGCAAGGCAAAGGCCTGCACATTTCCACTTTGCAGCCGCTAAGCCATATATGGCTTTCCATGCGGGCGGCATGCTAAGACCTCCATATTGTGCATGCATGCACTGCGGCCTAGGCACCTATCCTATTGATCCCATAGGGCTTACGAATGTCTTACTTGTAACGTTGGGCGTGCGGTTTTGTCTGCAGTTATTTACTCTCTCCGCGCGCTTTTGGGAGAATTGGAGCGTTTGTTTCCCGGTGAGCAAACAGCAAGAGTCCTCCTGAATTGAACATGTGCCTTCTTCAGCTCCAAGCCCATGCACCACCTTTTTTCGTGTAGCTTACATGCAAACATGCATGCCTGCATCTTGTCTCGTGCTGCCTGCATGTAGACATGTATGCACGCACGCACGAAGTCTCTTCTTGAGGCATCGTAAAATACATGCAAATATTTATGTTTGCATGCAATGGCGGCACTTACTATGGCCATTGCGTTCCTACATTTGGTGTACATTTCTCTTCAGGAAAGTCCCACCTCGCTAGAAACGACATCGCCCTCTTGTGTATACTGAATGGGAACGACTACCTGCCAAAACTCCCAGGCTTCTCTTTCGCCAGATTTACAGCAGCCTATGAGGCAACAAGACGCAGGTACGCCGTTATCGAGGGGGTTGCATGCATACACGCCCATCTGCATGTATGCATGCATTCTCGTTCCTGTGGTTATTTCTCCTTTTGGGCATTTTGCAGTGCAGCACCTACGGGGCATTTTTGTTTCCGATCTATTATTTGCAGGTTATTTTCTGTTTGTGTTCTATTATGAGTCTGTACGCTTGCAGTACCTTGCCGGATTATTCCTGTTTAATTGCAGAAGTAGCCTCCATATCCACGTTTTGTGCAATTTCCCCCTTGCCTATTCTCGTTTGCCGCAGGCCCGACTGCCACGATTTGAGTTGGGTGGATGCGGAACGCCAGACGTTTAACTGGCATTTTTTTGGGGCTTTTCTGGAGGAGTTAGAGCGCATGCAGAGTTTTGAGTTGGTCGCTAAACAAAGAGAAGAAAGCATAAAGCAACAACGAGAGGCTGCTGGACGAGCTCCTGCTGATGCAGCAGCTCCATTTAAGACTTCCCCATTGCAGCTCGTCAACCAATTGGTCGCACAAAAAAGACTCGTCGTATCCAACGCGAATGTCCCGCTGGATAGTACAGACCCCTCAGCACAGAACAAGCTACAAGTGCGTGAAGTTGCTGTTTTGCTCCCTCGTAGAGCGTGGGGTCGCGGCGTGTCAACCTGCTTATTCCACTCTCCTATTCTAATATAGACGTCATCTTCTTCTGCAGGTTCTTGCAGGGGATTCGCTCTCATTTCTGTACACTGTTGCGCCTCCTCCTTGGGCCTCTGTGCTGCCTACAGCTGTATTTGTGTGGATCGATCCATGAGCTGTCTGCACACATCAGACGCTGGCGGATGAACTGGCTGAACAGTTGAACTGTTATTGCTGCTTGCTCTCCCTCCCATTTGTTTTCAGTGGAGTTTCCAGGAGCGTGAAGACGGTTTCCTCTGCGACATCGAATCCGAGCTGAGTGGGCCTAGGTTAAAGCGCCGCCAGACGGAGGGGCCCGCCCAGGCAAGCAACGAGCCCCCTGACACTACGGGGGAGAGCCTAAAGAATGAAGGGGGGGAACTTAAGAGTGAAGAGGGGCCTATAAGGAATGAAGAGGGGCCCCTTAAGGATGAAGAGGGGGCCCTTCAGACTGCAGAGTCGTCCCCCAAGCCTGAGGAGCGGTGGACAGGCATTGCGAGCAGTGCATCACACAAGAAGACGGCGCAACAGAAGGCCGCTTTGAAATTGCTGCAGCAGCGCTTCCCACAGCTGCTGCAGCTTGTAAAGGAGGGCCCCTGGAACTCCGAGAGTTCAGGAACAGCAAAATCTGAACAGGAGGGGGGATGTGCCGAGGTCAACATCGATCCCGATCTTGTCTCTGCTGCCACCTTCAACAAAGCAGCTGCTGCTCTTCGTGCTACGACCCCCTCTAACACGCTCAATAATCTCTGTCTGGTTAGTCGGCAATCAGACAAGAACACAGGCAGGGTGTTTGTTGCAGGGTACTGCTGCTTGTGTTTGTGTTTATTCTTCGTTTTTGTTTGTTTTTTACCTTCTTTTCTCCTTGTCGATTTGTTATCCTCTTTGTTCGGTGCTGCTTGCCCTGCTGTATACTAGGACTCGCCCATGTGCTGTTCATTAGTGCTTTCCTGTCTGTTGTTTGCCGTGTATAGATAGGCTTTTATTTAATTGTTTATTCGCTATTATTTATTTCCTCGCCCGGCAAAGTTCTTTTGTATGTCTTCTGCTGCTGCAGGCTGCTCTACACAGCCCTCCGACTTTCTGCTTAGTTTATGGCGAGGAGGCGGCTGGTAAACCACCGCATGCAATCCAAGTTGAAGCAGCAGCACAAACTACAGAGACGCAAGCAGAAGCAGCACAAACAACAACAGCAACAGCAGCCCAAAGTGTAGGAACACCGATAGGAGTAACAACACCAACACCAGTACCATCAGCAGAACCACCAGTACCAGCAGCAGCAGCAGCTCCTGCAGCAGACGGAGCAGCGGCATCAACACCAGCAGCAGGAGAAACGGCAGCGGAAGAAAAAGCAGCAGCAGCAGCAGCAGGGAGTCCTCCTAAAGGGTTTGTTCGGGTAGATGTGGTGCTGCAAGGAAGAGTTATTTTTTCCTGTCTTTTGGAGGGGCATCAGGCGACATCCAAGAGCAAACTGAAACATGCTGCTAGCATGCGAGTAAGAAGAAACCGCTAGCTGTCCACCCAGCTGTGGAGGCTGTGGCTAGCAACTTGTAGAGCTGTGGTGGCTTGTTACCTGCAAAAGGCGGCTAGGCACCAGATAGCACCACAGCATATACCTGTGTCGACGCTCCATCACAGATATCCTGCTACACCTGTTGCTGCCGCTGCAGGCGCTGGAGGAGTGGGCTCCTGGTCTACACGCCGCGTTGAGGGCACAGGCCTGGGAAGAAGACGGTTCGCAATCTGAACTCAGTGACGGTGGTGCATCTGCTGCGGCAGCAGCAGCAGCAGCAGCAGCAGCAGCAGGACAGATGGAAACAGAAGACAAGTTGAACTGCAGCACTTCTGGGGAATCGATTGAGTCTGTCGAGAAAGAGAAGACACATGAATATCTTTGGGGTAACAGAGAGACACAGTATTAGAATCTTATACAGTAACTGAAGCTTTCTGCTGCAATTGCTGCTGCTGCTGTTGCCAATGCTGCTGCTCCTGTTGCTGATCGTGCGTTGCTCATGCAGGCCTGTTGTGGAATCTGCGGATGTACGTTGACGGGCTTTGCTGCAACAACTTGTGGCATTTCCCTTTTAACTCCGCCCCCTCCCTCCTTGCCCTCCGCCATATAGTCCATACACAAATGAAGGCATCAGCAGCAGCAGCAACAGCAACAACAACAGAGCCTGAAGCACCAGCAGCAGATAGGGCACGCCTACAAGAAACGCCTCCACCTGTTTCTGAGTCGCTGTACACCGCAGCACTTCTGCCAAGGTCGTCCCTGAACGATCTAGAGGCTCGCGAGCGCCAGGCGTGGGGCCCCCAGGAGGCCCCCATGACGAAACGACTCCTTGAGGCGCGGGACCTTCTCGAGACTGCAGCAGCAGCAGCAGCAACAGCAGCACCTGCTGCCGCACAGTCACGTGACGAACTGCCAGAAGAATTGAAGGGGTTGCAATTGGCGGATAAAAAGGAGGGAGAAGAGGAAACCACGCATGAACCTTCAAGCCAACAGCAAGAAGAAGTGCAGATCAACGCAAGTAAGTAACACCTGAATGGAGCAGCAACAAACCAGCAGTTGCAGCAGCAGCAGGCGCTGCTGTTGTGCTGCAGTTCATGAGCTTCACAGCTGCAGCTGGACAGCTAATCCGTATTAGCAACACAATGTGTTTTTTATTTCTTTATGTCCCCAACACCTTAATGAAGATGGAGCAGCAGACATGCAAACAATGCAAACCATAAGCTGCGTACTTGGGGTGTGCAGACACCGTCCTGCTCGCGATGCGTATGCTGGCGCAGCAGCGGCAGCAACAGCAGCAGCAGCAACAGGAGTTCGCCGCGCCGTCCTCTGCAGGGGAAACTGATAGCAACCCCGCGGGATCTCCCGTGGGTAGTCCCCCCATCAGCAGCAACAGCAGCAGCAGCAACAGCAGCACCAGCAGCACCTGGACAGTGTTTAGGCGAGGTCGAGGGGGCCTCGCCTCTTCTCTAATCCGTGAATCCAAGACGCCAATTTTTCTTGCTGATGGATTCAATAGGCCATGGGCTAAACCCCCTACAGAGGTACAGCATTGTTACTTTTCTTTGCCAATTTTTCCTCATAAAAAAATAATTAGAATAAAAACACCAATAATAACAACAAATAATCAAGATAACAGCAGCACATTAGATGGCGGGGACATACCTGCGAGCAGCAGCAGCAGTACCAGCAGCAGTACCAGCTGCAGCAGCAGATGCATCCAACCCCGCAACGGACAACTCCATGCCCTTTCCTCCCTACCTCGCCCGGGGCCCTCCACGGGGGCCCCCCATCATGTGGGGGTTTACTGCTCCCCTGTATGGCAGTTAGGGGACCGTAGGATCCCGTCAAGAGCGCTGCATGCGCTGCTGCCTCAGAAGAGCACATCCTGCAGCACACTCAGGACCCTCCCGCTTCTTGGTGGGGCCCGGGGGCCCCCCTGCAGGGACCTTCAGATGAAACAGATGCCCTGCAACCGTTGGTTGTTGGGGGCCCCCTTGGGGCCCCGAGACACCTTCTGCAGCAGGGGGGCCCACAGGTGTCACCACCGGCAGCGCTAATGGGAAGAGTACACGGGTGTACGTACACCTTAAGAAGCAGCGTAGTGCACTGCAACAGGGTGTACGTACACCGCACTGCAACACGAGTACAGTACAGCAGCAGGTAAGTTAGCTGCCTGCTGCTGTGCTGTTGCATTATAAAGTAGAGGAGGGGACGACCGTCATAAATAATGTTAAAACAAAGGGGCCCCTCTGCTTCCTCCCTATCCCTACTGTAATCCCTCGTAGTCTCCTCTCCTCAGTATAGCCATTAACATACAAACCGCAGGTTTAGGGGGCCCCAAACTGGTGAGGGGCCCCCTCGGGAGGGCCCCTCTACTCTGTCTGTAGGGGTGTTTGCCTCTCCTTTTACACTAATTCCTTACACTCTACCTAATACCTACGCAGGTCTAGGGGCCCCGTGAGGGAGGGTTTATATTGGAGGGGCCCCCAAGACGGG